GGACGTGTCTCTATTCTTGTTTTGCTCGATCTCAGTGCTGCATTTGATACTATCGACCATGATATCTTATTGCAAAGACTAGAGCACTTAGTTGGCATACAGGGAACTGCTTTAGACTGGTTTAGGTCCTATCTATCTGAACGCTCTCAGTTTGTACGTGTCAATGATGAATCTTCCACGCAAACCAAAGTTAGCCATGGAGTGCCACAGGGCTCAGTGCTCGGACCTATTTTGTTCACATTATATATGCTTCCGTTAGGCAATATTATAAGGAATCATTCTGTAAACTTTCATTGTTATGCGGATGATACTCAACTATATTTATCAATCAAGCCTGATGAAATTAATCATCTAAATAAAATTCAAGACTGCCTTAAGGACTTAAAAACGTGGATGACCTTAAACTTTTTGATGTTAAACACGACCAAAACTGAAGTTATTGTACTTGGCCCGAAGAATCTACGAAACAAATTATCTAAGGATATACTAACTATTAATTTGGCCTCCAGTGAGACTGTAAGGAATCTTGGTGTTATATTTGATCAGGATTTATCCTTTAACGCCCACATAAAATCAATTTCAAGGACCGCCTACTTCCATCTACGTAACATTGCAAAAATCAAGCATATCTTGCCTCAAAACGATGCAGAGAAACTAGTCCATGCATTTGTTACTTCAAGGCTGGATTATTGTAACTCTTTATTATCAGGGTGTACCAAGAAGTCAGTCAAGTCGCTTCAGCTGATTCAAAATGCTGCGGCTCGTGTACTAACCAGAGTTAGGAAAAGGGACCACATTACTCCTGTTCTGGCTGCCTTACACTGGCTCCCTATAGAACACAGGATAGAATTTAAAACTCTTCTTCTCGCCTACAAAGCCCTTAATGGGCAGGCGCCATCTTACCTTAAAGAACTCATTATACCCTACTGTCATACTAGGGCATTGCGTTCCAAGAATGCAGGGTTGTTGGTTGTTCCTAGAGTCTCTAAAAGTACAATGGGAGCCAGAGCCTTTTCTTATCAAGCTCCACATTTGTGGAATCAGCTTCCAGTTTGTGTTCGGGCGGCAGACACCCTATCCGTTTTTAAGAGTGCGCTTAAGACCTTCCTTTTTGATAAAGCTTATAGTTAGGGCTGATTAGATTCAGCCCCTAGTTTTGCTGATATAGGCTTAGTTTGTCGGGGGACATCTTACTTCTTCCTTCTCTCTGTCTATACCTGTGTACTCTCATGTTCCGATTAACCCAGCTTCCCCAAATGTCTTTCTTTTTGGTGTCTATATACGCCGGGATCCGGAGTCATGGATGATCCTGCGCTCCTCTGTCCTGGATCGCGAGCCCTGGATCTTGAGTCGTGGCTGTGGTCCTGGATCATAGGTCCTGGATGGATATCCTCGTGGATTCATCTTCCTATTATACACACATGCATTTCCAAACATTTGGACTACCTATGTTGCAAATGTATTATCTTTTCAATTTACACACGGCATCTATTGCACGTCTGTCCGTCCTGGGAGAGGGATCCCTCCTCTGTTGCTCTCCCTGAGGTTTCTCCCATTTTTCCCTTTAAACTGTGGGTTTTCTTCGGAAGTTTTTCCTTGTACGATGTGAGGGTCTAAGGACAGAGGGTGTCGTATTGTCCTACTGATATTTTGTACAAACTGTAAAGTCCACTGAGACAAATGTAACATTTGTGATATTGGGCTATATAAATAAACATTGATTGATTGATATGTTAAATGAAAACAATGGATAAAAGCAAAGGAATTGAAATCGACAGACCAGCTGCTGACCAGTTTCATTTCTAATCATTTAGACTCTTGACCATCGGTTCAGATCTCTATGTCAGGTTTCTCTTTGTGATTTAAATAGCATCCAGTGTCCTAACCAGGGACAATGATTCCTTCATTCACGGTCCCTTTTCACCATGCTGTCTTGTAAAAGGGAATAAATGGCTGTGTTTGTTGTGGTGTCAGACAGAACATATGTCTTCTCGCTGTGTTCAGCTCCCAGACGTACAGTGCCAACGAGATCAAACTGGTTCTCAAAGAGGAGGACAACCACACGCTGGAGTGGGTGGACATTGACCCAGAGGCTTTCACAGGTACAGAAGAGTTTAAAAGACAGTGTTTATATTGAAACTTATTACAAATGATTGTGTTGCAAAATGTTTAACTTCCATCTTAACTTGTTTTTAGAGAATGGAGAGTGGGCCATCAAGCATAGGCCGGCTAAGACGCTGATCAACACTCAGCACACTAAGGATGAGCTGGAGTACCAGGAGGTGGTCTTCTTCCTCATCATCCAGAGGAAGCCCCTCTTCTACGTCATTAACATCATCGCTCCCTGTGTGCTCTTCTCTTCCCTCTGCCTCCTAGTCTACTTCTTACCTGCCAAAGGTCTGTTTGCTAACTTTGTGAAACTTTCTAAAAGCCTAATAGTCACTCAGACCTCCAACACATTAACCTCATCATGATTTTCCTAGCTCTCATCATCAAGGTTTTCTCCAAATGTTATGCGGTAGACAAGAAAAGTCTGGCTCCTTTAGGTTACACATTTCTGTTTTCATTACCACTGACCAATGAATATTTGTTTTGCAGCTGGGGGTCAGAAGTGCACCATGTCTATTGCCACTCTTCTGGGCCAGACTGTGTTTCTCTTCCTTATCGCCAAGAAGGTTCCAGAGACTTCCAGGGCAGTGCCCCTGATTGGAAAGTACGTTTGTGTGATCACTCAAAGAGTTTTGGTTCAAATACAGCTGACCTGAAGTGAGAAAAAAATGTGATTGATGAACATTTGACTGCAGGTATTTGATGTTTGCGATGTCAGTGACAACCACGGTGGTGATGAACTGTGTGGTAGTCCTCAACGTTTCCCTGAGAACCCCAAACACTCACAAAATGACAGACAATGTCAGAAAGGTAAGACTGTGTGTAGACCAAACCCTGGCCTTTTCTAAATGCAATTTCCATTAAGAAGCTACTGAATGAACATCCTGTGAAGCAAACACAGGTCTATTTGCCACTGGATTACCCTCTGACCCTGTATCCTCCTCAGATCTTCCTAAACATCCTGCCTCGGCTGCTGAAGATGCAGATGCAACCCTGGAAACCAAACAGTGACAACGCTTCAGAACCTGGCAACGGTGAAAATCATGTCACAGACAGGAACAACGTGTTCCTGGTGCCCTGCCGACGCCGCAGCTCCATGAGCCTCATTAGCAAGGCGGAGGAATACGTGTTCAAAACAGCTCGATCTGAACTCATGTTTACCAGACTCAAAGACAGAAACGGACTGATGAAGTCAGTATTAGAGAGGATACGTAAGTATTTAAACAAGTGCAAAGCAATTCTTCACCCCCAAATTGTAATAATAATAATAATGTTTTTATCACGACTTCAATGTGAACAAATAATTGGTTAAACTGTCAATAGTGAGCGGGGTTTTACTAAAGCACATCAGCTTAAAAACTTGCAGACGCCTGTGTATTATAATCAAAGCTTTTCTAGTTGTATGCTCAGTACTTCCCAAACCAAAAACTATTTAAAACCCCCTCCTCATTAACAGTCTCAGGTTTGCGCAGATACTTTTCATCTGGACTCCTTGTATTTCTTGATATAGTTGTGCTGTTGTTGAATCCAGACCAAGTTGACTTTGGTTCATGAGGAATTTTGTTCACTGTGAAAGCCTTTTGTGAGATGTATTCAAGAACTCAAGGTAACAGAGGTTGAATAATGTGTATGCAAAAGATAATTTAGGAGTGAAGTCTTCCATTAAAGTGCCTATGAAAGTGTGTTCTCCTTTTCATGAACATCTGGTGTTATGTACACAGATGATGGGCTGGAGGGGGGCTCAGCTGAGCAGCTCAGTGCCAGCCTGGCAAAGGCCTCTCCACAGCTGAAGCAGTGTGTGGCCTCCTGCAAACACATAGCCGAGACTGCAAGAAAACAGAACAACTTCCAAAGTGTGAGTTCTACATTTCAATATGTGCTGATCTTCTTAGGTTAATCAACATCAGTGATAATCTCCCATTTTCTTCCTGCTCCAGGAGAACGAAGAGTGGTTCCTGGTCGCCCGGGTGATCGACAGGGTCTGCTTCATTGTCATGGTGTCAGTGTTTTTTATCGGCACGATTGGGATCTTCCTGATGGGTCATTTCAACCAGCCCCCCTCCTCGCCTTTCCCCGGGGATCCCAAGAGGTATCTCCCTCTAATAAACAACCTCACTGATCTAACTGAGAGTGGGATGGGAGCAAACTTCTTGGGGTGAACTAAGAGAAAACTTCCAGATGTAATCCTTTTTCAATCAAAAGTCGGAATCTGAGGATGTCCGTCAGTGATCCTTCGCTTTGAGACGAGGACACAGAGATAATAGAGAAGATTTGGGGGTCTTTCCGACTATCACAAGTCAAAAATGCTTGTTCATGTTGATAAAGGATCCACTGCACAGTTTTCTGGATGCCAGTATGATCGATGGTGACGCACAGTACTGGTATCAGCTGTCACTGATTTTTGGGGTTGAGAATACTTGTTGCGTAAAAAGCTGTATAAGAAAATGTGCTCTTCCTGTCACAAGCCCAGTGTTTGATGTAAGTCTACATTTTTTTCCTGCTGATGATAAAATCTTAGGCCATCATGATAACCTACTGTACATGAGACACATGTTGATCACAGATGTAAACAGTGAAAACATGTTTTGTTTTTTAAATAAAAGTACTTCTATTATTGGTCAATTGCTCAGTCTCAGACTTTTCTTAATCATGTGTTTAACACCTTTTTTGTGGCACATATAGAGCACTAACAGCCCCCAGGCTACCCCAAAACACAGACCCACTGCACAGCCCCCCCACCTCTGGTAGCAGGATTTCAATTACATGGCCGAGCGGGGTCTTTTTTAACCCAACAAAAGGCAGATCCGCCTGGTTGGGATGGAAACAGAGTCAGGGGGTGAGACCGGCGGTGACACACACATACACACACATCACAACGCCAAACATTACTACATACACACACAGAGGTTGTAAGGAGGTATGTGCTTCAGCCCTCCTGATCATGTCGACTCGTGGATGTTTGTCTGGTTATATCCTTCTCACAGTCAGAGTCTTTAGGTACCTGGAGGTCGACCTCAGACGGTAAGCAAGAGTGCTTAGTTGTGCTGTTTTCTGTCCATAAATACTGTTTAATACTAAATACTCTGGAAGATGTTTACCATGTTGGCACCTTGTACCCTTTCAGCAATCCCTGTCTCTATGCAGGACAGGAGTTAAAGTTTAATTACTTTTTTGTTGAGGAATATCGTATACAAAGTTACATACAGCTGCAGAATGGGGCAAACTGTGAAAGCTGAGTGTGTGTGATTTGAATAAAGAAGAGGCTGATGCTGGCTGCGGTGATAAAATCCCTTTGTCGTAAGGGGAGGGCGTTTATATTGGTGCTAGAGAACACCCTGAACCTCCTGAAGGAACTTTGTGTGAAAAGGAATGTTGGTTTTCTTGAGCTTTCTCTTGTAAATTCAAGAGATAAATCTAATTATTTGTTTGTAAGCCTTTACTTCAGGGGAAATGTGAAATTATTATTTAGACAATCTAGTCAACTAGTGTTCTGAAATACTTCTTGAAACAACGCTTTTGATGACATACAATACTATGACTTTTTTAATGACATACCGTAGACCCCATTTCATAAGATTTTGGTCAACGGTCCCTTCTGATAATTGTTTCGCCTTTACACTTATTATTTTATACATATATATTATACTAAGTCCATATTAATAACTTGTTGTGACCTACAGTATTTAACAATGACTTATTTTGATGAATTTTTAAGACATAGGATGTTTTATGATTTTTAAATTGCGTATTATACTATTCATTTGTATGATATATATTTACCTTGAATACTATGACTTTTTAATGATGTTCTTACAATTTAAATTATTAAACACTATGAGGACAATTTAAACACAACAATTATTTCTGTAACTCCAAAAAGTCCTGGATTATTGTTTAACAAGAGTCTGGTATCTAAATAATTCCATCCAAACATAGACAACAAATGAGCGATTACTGACGCTGGTCTTATACTCTCGGGTAAACAAAGCTGAACAAAGTATCCCACCTTATATATTCACAGTATAATTGCTTGTCATTGATATGTTATTTCTGGGTGCAACATATATTTTCAGTTTTACACCATGTCAGCGGTGACCAATCAGCCTCTTCCCTTCGGTCAACTGGAAAGAGAGAAGCACATCCAGATGATCTTCAAAGCTTTCCAGAAACACTGCGGGCCTTCATGTGAATGCCACACTCACCACCCTCGGCCCAAACGCACCCAAACACCTCCTGACTGTCAATCTGATGGGCAGCTGTCAGGTGTGGCTCCTGGGAGGATGATGAACAACGGATTCATGCAGCAACCAGGGAAAGTCAGTCTGCCAGGGGTGGAGGAGCCTGGAGGTGCAGCTGGATCACACTTCCTGTCTGTGCTGGAAACAGTCAGTCAAATACACATCACTGCCAGACCAGAGCTGCAAGGTGAGAAAGGGGGGTCACTTTGGCGTATCGTTCTTTAAAGGTCTCCTGTTATACTGTTTTTCATCAATATATTATAGGTCTCAGATATATACAAAACATGTCTCTGAAGTGTTTCGAAATACCAAACAGATCATGCATTGTAGCATCCCATAATCCCCTCTGTTTCAGCCCTATTTCAAAAGGGCAGATTCTGTGTCTGTTACTTTAGATGAAAATAAGGAGCCCCTCCCCACGCCCCTCTGAGAGAGATTTGGTTAAAAGAACACAATGGAGCTCTAGGAGGAGATCCAGGTGATAATGTGGGGGGGGGGTTACCTTGGTTGGTGATTGGCTAATGGTTACACAAGCCAAAACATCGTTATGACATCATAGAGTGGCCAAAATGTGATCAGCTCATTTTCAGACAGGTTTTTATAGAAATGGATCAGGACAAAAAGAGAGGGGGTCTTTGTTACTGAGACTTTCAGAATCTCTTTACACAGAGGGGACACATGTTTATGTATAAAAGACATGAACAGGTGGATTTTGCACAATAGGCGACCTGTAAAAAGTAAAACTTGCAGTGAATATGTGTTTCTGTTTTAAAGAATAATGTGTCGTCATTGCAGGTCCACAATGTGTTCCAAGGAGGATCTACAGCATCAGCACAGGAGGTCACAGGTCACAGTTATTTATGGCTGTGGAAGGTACTGATCCATGTTCAGCTACACATGTCTTAACTGAGCCCATAATTTGCTTTTCATATGAAGATAGTGTGGGTTTTAATGTTTTTCAGTGTATTGTCTTTGATCTGTCAGAGAGTTCCTGTGTGTGCCTCCAGTGTTGCGGTCCAGCTCGGGCCTGTTCCCTGCGGGGGTTCGACTGTCAGAGCCGGCAGGTCTTTTATTTTGAAAGGCCCCTCAGAGTGGACGCCTGCTGTCTCGGCTGCTGCCTGATGGAGATGAGGGTGTACACACCTCACAAACAACTCATAGGCACTGTGTTTCAGAGGTAGGACAGTCAAAACGTACTTCTATTGCCCCGGGCCAACTTCAGTGCTGAAGAGTAGACTTACTGAAGTACCGACTCTTATAAACGCTTGGGAATACTTTAGAGAATCTTCTATTTTATGCTATATTTAAGTTACTTTGCAGATTTGACCTGTAGAACAGAAGATAAGTGTCTAAAATATGGTGCATGTTTCAGGCAAAACTGTACTTTTAATATAATGTGACCCCAAATAAATAAAGAATTAAAAATAAACAAATACAACTGTTATAACTGTTATATGACATAAATTATTTTTGTATTACTTTTTCAAATTAAGATTTTACTGATGCAGCAAAAACATTTGATAAAAAATAAAAAATAAATCCCAACTAGTCGGATTTGATTATTTTAATTAAAGGTGTCTTCGGTGTGGTATTTGGGTCAGTGGTGAAATTGTGCCATCTACTAATACCAATACCAATCAGGATCGTTTTATTTTACCAGGTCTGAGATTTATGATGTTGTCGAAATACAGTTAAGTTGAAAGAAATGTAATCTTTCAAGTTTTTTGTAATTTAAATGAATGTACCCTTAACCCTTTGACCTCCACTAGAATACTGTACCAGGCAGCAATCTTTATACATTCTCAGACTGAACATGTGAGCTTTTTTCCGTGACCCTCCCGGCCTCTGGCCACCCTGAGCCATCAGAGATGCCCAGCCTGTCTGTAAATAGCAGAGAGAGCTTTTACTGTTCCATCCAGCCGGGGTGCAGTCTAAACCTGTGAGACTTAATGCACTAAACAGCTGCTTGGACGGAGACATACTGACAAAGCTGCCCCGGGCTGCATGGGAGGGAAGGAATGCAACGTCCTTCTTAATGGGAATGTTGACTAATGGGCGAAATGGCAGCACCCAATCTACTGTAGGCAAACCAAAATACTTTCTTCTTCCTTTGGCCTGAATTTGACTCCAGGGTTAGCTACCGTGGTGTGTGCCGGATCCAGAGTTTTTCAGAAGCCACACTCAATGAGGTTATCCCCAATTAAGACTGACCTGGCAGAGGTTTCGTTGAGCACAGATTTACTTGGTATAAATATTCTCTCAGTTGTCCTCGAATAAAGCCTGCCCCAATTTGAACTCCTCCGATACCAAGCAAACAATGGTTTTAGTGCTGCAGAACCATGACAGCTGAAAATTTGACCAACCAAGCATCAAGGCTATGCGGTGCCACTGTGTGAAGTACCGGCCAGTGTATCTGCTAGGTTGCTTATTGCACGATTATTATGTAAGGGTACGGGTTGAGTTGGTGTGTGTTGGGGGCCTTTGTTTTCAGGTGGAGCATGTTCACCCCTCTCCTGGAAGTGTGTGATTCAGAAGGAGCATCCACCATCAGAATCCAGGGCTCCTGCTGTCCATCCCGATGCTTCTCTAACCAGCAATTCCAGGTAGTGATATTTAACCCTTAGATGCATACTGTAAGTGGGTCTTTTTTGACCCGGTGAGGTGGTTTTCTCAGAGTATCTTTGTAATTACATTTGTTTTTATCATTTCATATTCCAGCTATTCCTCAAAAAACATGTTTTGGATATCATGCCATTCAAATGTTTTATTTAAATTGTATACATTTTAAGAAATTATAGTTTTTGTATTACTACCCCAAGCTTCCATAAGTGGGTCAAAAATGACCCGCAAGAATTTTCTATGGAATTTCGTTTTTTTTTTCAAAATGTAAAAAAGATTCTAAAATTATAAATAGTGAAAAATGTAATATTAAATATTTCTAGTATGATCCAAAATATAATACTAAATATTATACAAGTGATTTGTCTTAACCAAAATGACATAAAAACATTATATTCTAATATGGGTCCTTTTTTACCCACTTATGGAAGAGTGTAGGGTCCAGTCACTCGTGCATCTAAGGGTTAAGCAACACAAAAATAAAAATATTCTACACGCTTATTTTAATTGCTATGTTTTGCTTTTAATCTTCTCCAGATTGTCTCCAACATTGGGGAGAAAATGGGCTCGATATGGAAGAAATGGCCTGGCTTCAATGACGATTATAACATGGACCATGAATATTTTGGGTTGGAAGGTGAGTTGAGCACAAGGAAGGTTTAAAAAACGTCCACAAAAAAAACAAATTGATGAGCATGACAGAACATGACAACAATTACTGAGTTACACACGTGTTTACATATCAAAATGTCTTTTGAGAAATGAAATGTTATTTTACTTAAGTTAACTCCACATAATGTCCCATGTGCACCCCATAGTTTGAGAACCTTAATGTCATTTCAAATTGTATTTAAATGTGTCTCTTCCAGTGCCACTCGGTATGGAATCACACTCCAAACTAATGCTGCTGGCAGCCACTTTCTTGTTGGTAAGCAAATTAATTTATATTATCACTGTTCATACATTATTCATTATAATAGGCCTTTTTTTACAGAAAGGACAATAAAAGTATAAATATCTAAACTAAACATAGCTGAATTCAGTTTTAGGGTTCTGATATTGTGAATGCTACCATCATAAATGACTACAATATAGACATTGTTTATAGTTGTATTAATACCTGTGATTTCCCTACTAGTACATATCATGTCTGTTGTGAAAAAGGCCCTTAGAGTTTGTCCTTTTACTGATTTGCTTTCACTTTTTTCCCTACAGAATTACATGTTCTTTGAAATGAGCTGATCCATGAAAAGGATCAATAAAAAGGTAAACTGACATTGTTGCTACAGCGTCAGTGTGTACTACAATTGATGAGACACACCAGAGGGGTCAGTTGATGGTACAAGAGACCGTATCAGTGAATTGCATCTATAAAGAAACAGTAAGAAATGATCTGTCCCTCAACAATTATGTTTCAACTAACATATGTTAAAGAAAATGACACTGAACCAGATTTAGCAGCAGATGCATATTTGACATTTATTGCTATACTCCATCAGGTGTACATCCAAATGTGTTCTTCACTTTTGACACACACCTGCACCCATCATCATACCCACAAACACTGGCAGCATTACAGTTTTTCAACAAACTATAGGCGCTTTCTTGGCATGGTTCCAAAAAAATGCTCCCGAGAATTGATAAAAACTGTAACAGACCCTGACCCTGGGCCCAGTTTCATTTATATTACTACAAAATGGAAAAGGAGTGAAGGTCAGTGTTCCAGGACACCTGAACACCTTTGTTGAGGACATTAAAGCAGAACCCATCCCTTGGATTGTTTAAAGGCGGGATGAAGACGTGACAGACAGAAGGGAAAACTGGTTCGGGCTCGAGGCCAGGCACAGTGATTTAGGCAGCTTGGCAGTCCATTCTTAAGATGCCGGTTATACAACCTTCTGCCCAACACAGGATGCTCCTCATCCTTTGGGATTAACTTTCACGTAAGATGGAGAATCATTGCTGATTCAGTTAAGCGATCTTTGAAGTGGACTGTATTTACAAATATATCGTACACAATAATAGTAATCTTTCTGGTTCGAAATGTCAGACGAATTGTAGTTAAAATACAGCACTGTAATAAAAAAAAAAATCGACCTGCAACCCTGTTGAAGTCCTAATAAAACAAATTCATTTTAGACAGCAGGAAATGTGATGTTAAGCAGTTAAATCTAGTATTATAACAGACTGGTTGTTGTATTTTGTCAAGTACACTTTGTTAACAGCTAATGACCAGATCAGCGAATACCTGTCACATGGCCTCCCTCTTGTGGCAAGTTAACAGATGTTACAACTTGCATTAAAAAAATAAAAAATAAAAATGGAGGCATCAGTCTTCTCTGGTTGATTAAAAGTAACGCATATTTCCCTCTTCGGCAAGGTTCAGTTCGACAGGCTTTTCCGTTCATTTCCAATTTGACGCAAATAAGGAATGGTCTTCCTGCCTCTGTTTCTGACTTTTGCTCTGTCTTCATGTTACACAGTCCCAATCCACATAGAGGTTTCCTTCCCAGGACTCGTCATCCCCCGGCATGTCACATATACACACACACCTACGCACAGCAAACAGAGACAAACATTAGCACCAGCACATCAGAGAGAAACTATCTTTCACTTTGAAATAATGTAGCAACAGTTCCTACTCTTTCAGAGGTGGTCTGTGTGAGGGGCTAACGTCCGCCGCTAGGGTTCACCAGTCCATGGAAGTCTACCCATGCTCTGTGAACAAAGGATGCAGCACATCATCATTCAAAATAAACACCACGTTTGGATATTCAGGCCTTTTCAATGGGAAAATCACAACTGCATCAATTTACTGTAAAAGCACATGAAACATGACAGTGTTGCATACATGGTGGGGTTTGACTTGTCTTTCTTTTATAACATATACACCAACAAATAAGGGAACAAATTATATATCAGTTCTATTATAGCTCTGGATGTTGTTCTGGATGCTTCAATAAATAAATCATAACTGCCAAAGAAAATGAAGAAAGTAATGCTCTTCTTAGTGCTGCTAAAAACTATTTATGTTCATTATCTATAATGTTAATCACTTTCTAATTAAATGTTTATTAAACTCTTAGAAAGGAATCTCGTATGATCTCGAGAACCTTTCATTGGATCTACTTCATAATTGGCGACTATATTGTTGGGGATCCAAGTAAGTGTGGTGTCGAAGTTGGGCGCAATTTAGACACGGGACATTTTCGATAACTAAGAAAAAACAAGTGAATAGCGATCTGTGCAGCAATGGGTTGGGGCCACATGACTCTCAAAACTGAGTGGAGCATGTTGTCCGCAGCAGGCCTTTAAAGGCTGCAGCTCATGGACTGCACTTTCTTTTGCTGCGACATGCCGCATATAGCCTGCTAACGTTACATGTATGTTGGAAATACTAAAGTTACAATCCATGCTCTACTTGGGTTTGCTTTCCAGGCGCAGATTGAGTGATTCAGGGGCCCAGGCAAACGCTGTTTTGGATGATTTTTCATACATCATTCACTGATTGGGAACTTTGGTATTGGCAGAGGTAGATTAAGTACTTACACCGTTTTTTAACTTAAATTATACAAAAATAAAAACAGCATGTGTCCTAAAAATGTCATAGTATTAGGGCTGCACGATATATCGTGTCGTGACGATAATAGCGTTATGCGCATGCGCAATATTGACATCGCAGGACGTGCGATTTATTTAATTTTTAGGACGTGCGATATTAAGTAGGCAAATGAACTCAAATGGGTCATGGCTCTCATGTCAGGGGTACTTGAGTGAGCGACATGCAGGCTCTGCATGCACAGCAAACCACCAATCAAAACCATGTGATCAGATCACAGCAGGATAACCGAGCTAGCTCAGCTTGTTGCTCTGATAACTTAAGATCCAGAAGTCCGTGACTAAAATCCTTCATCCGGTTAAATATTGTTAAAAAAAAATACCAATTGTATAGCATTAAAGTTCAAGAAAGGATGGTTTGCGGACAACAGAAACTCTCTTTTCTTCAATTCCTGTATTTTTTCATATCGCAATATATATCGCAGGGGAAGAAAATATCGCAATGTCAGTTTTTTCCAATATCGTGCAGCCTTACGTAGTATATTATGAAAAAGTCAGTAATATAGTATGTCTGCCTCTGCCGTTTGCTATCATGAACCAGAGTGTATTTTGCTGAGTGACAGAACTATGCCATGGAAGCTCAGGACCAAAGAAAAGGAAGCGTAGTGTCAAGTGTTCAGCTGTTTGTATGAGCGCTTCTTGAGAAAGCTGAAAGCTGCAATATCAGAGGCCAATCATTCAGCCGTTCAAAACAGGCCCTGTTCTAGCTTTTGAAAAATGCCTGAAAAATGCATGATCTTGTTTGCATGATCATTTCAATGTTTTCTTCTAACAACACTCTGGAACCAACACCTATTCAAATAACAGCAGCAAATGTTAACAACTGAGAAGCTGCAACATGCAAATGTTTGCAATTAGATAGATAGATGGGTGTGGTAATCTATCTGTCCAAGTTGTAAAATACATTGTTTTATATCATTACGCTCTTTGACGCAACAATAATGCATCATATTTAAAAACATAAATGTGACAAAATGTTCATTCTGTGAGCATGCACACATGTTTGTGAGATAGATAGAAAGAGAGAGAAAATAATTAAACGATTAGACATACATACTTAATGCTGTCTGTGTGAGTCTTGTACTCCATGATGGTGTTGGGAGGCAGGTTGAGGACTCTGCGCAGCGTGTCTCTGATGCGGGCAGTGGTCGCCTGGTCGCTGGCTGTTTTGTTCCAGATAGAGATGATGTCCTCCTGAGAAGAGAAGAGAGGGCATGATGATGATACTGAAACATGCAGTGTGAGACGAGGTACTACAGGAGTGCGTGTCTGTTTACCTGGAAGCGGACTGACACCACAGCCCCGCAGATCTCCTCCCCAACCATGAACTGCTCCCCCAGCATTGCCAGGATCAGGTTCTCCCAGCACCGCGATGCAAGGCCTTTCCTCAGACGGATGATCCACTTCCCACCCATCTTATTGGCATCATCCTGTAAAACAACATGGCATGGATTTAGACTGGGTTTTTCATTTACAAATCTAAATTCATTTAATGTATTACAATAATATATGTAGTACCGACCTCCCACATGGGTTTAATACCCTCTTTGAACAGGTGGAAGTCACTATGGCCTGTCATGTCGCCTGGCCGGATCATGTGACTATAAAAACGCCAGAATTGCTCCACCTTGGGAAAGACAAGAACAGGGAATATGCAGGAATAATTACATTTTATACCTTTTAAATTATTTTTTAAAGACCCTTTTTCATAGGTGTTAAGACCCCATCACCCCTTAGAGTGAGCTGGCTACATTAGTGATACACTTAAAGTTACAATTAGTTGTGATTTTTGTAAGTCAGTTAGTTAGATTAGTTGTAAAATCATAATATAGTATGTGGTAATTTTGTATTATAAATCATAATATAGTATGCCACAAAGATGTCATATTACAGTATGTGAAAAGAGTCAGTGTATAGTAAGTATTAAAAAAGCCACAATATTTTATGTCTTAATTAAAACGTCCTAAAATATTTGTATATCAGTCAAGATAAGCTTGTATTCATGCATTTGCGCTGTGCCTTGCTAAGGTGATAATTAGAAGCAAAGAGAGTCCCCCCACCCTTTCTAATGTACTGGATGAGGAGCGACTTACCGAAGCGAAGCCACCAATCGGTTTAATGTTTTGCTCGTAGCTCTGAGTACTGGCTGGTCTCCCTGGGGTGCGCCTGGAGTACCAGAAGGTGTAATTGTATTGAAGAGGGTGCTCTCCTGCCCCTGGCACCACCATCTGCAGAAATCAAGAAAGGAACTTAGACATACTACTAACTTTGGAGATTAACTCATATATGAGTCATTCTATAATGGGCTGACCTTTCTCTTGGAGCTGTTCTGGTCTTTGTCCTCGTCTTCAGTCTTTTCCTTCTCACTGTCTTTCGGTGAGCCTTGGTCCTGGTCGTGGTCTCCACTGTCATCATCTTTCAGACTGGATTTGATGGAAACATTAGGCAAAAAAAGATCTTTGTATCTTGACCTGACTTCATTTAAGTTAAGGGGGACTTGCATCTTGGTTAAAAAGTCATTAAGGTGTAAATGCTGGAAATAACACATCATAAAGAAGTTCAGTTTTAGTTTAAACAGTTTTAGGGAAGTGTTGAGTCAACTTGTGGTCACTTTGAAGGCTGTTGTTGTAAGGGAATCGATGTTCCCACGGTCTTATGTTGCAACTTGAAAATGTTTTTTTTTTTTAATGTTTAAGCAAAAATATATTTCCTTGAGTAAATATGTTTAAATCACTAAACCTACAGCTTAAAGCCCACTGATGTTTATACTCCTTGACATTGATATTTCCATAATTGCTGAACGGATTTTTACCATTCAAACTGCATTTTAAATGTCCATCTGCTTTCATTTGTTTGCCATTTGAAATGAGTGAACGAAGATTGCCCTGAACTCACAATATCAAGAAGGGATTCCCCTCTATCGTTTGTGGTGCTAAACTGTATTATTATAAAGACCAATATTCTGCACTAGTTGATATTAATGGGGTTGACAAAATATTGCAAAAACAGGAACATGATAATAACCTTCAGAAGGATATATAATGTATTGCTGGGCTGCTACATTACAGCTTAGAAACTCTCAACTGAGTGTGATTGTTTAACCAGGAACAGCAAACATCTAGACTGTTAAATTGCATACGTACACATCTGTTGCTAAAATACTCTGACGGTGAATATCATACATGAAAATGTCAGCTGTGTGTCATTACTTTAGGGCCATGAGTCCATGACAGTATAGTTTGATCCGAAGCTGCGCACACCTTCCCCGGCCTCTCCACAACTGACACACCGAGGATACAGGCCTGTCAGGCTTCCGCCAGGCTAAGCTACCGCTAACAACACAGCACCATCTCCTTTCTGAAATACGATGTAATCTGTGTCTTTACTTCGTTTTAAATGCACCTCTGTGTGTTTAAAACTGGCTCTAATGTGGGTTTATAAACCTTACAGAGCATGCAGGATGCAATGAAGCTGACACACCTCTCATTTTATACGCAACAGCTTTCGCTAACGTTACGCTCCCCCGTGAATTTCACGATGGGGGGCCCACTCTCTGGCAGATTTGCCACAGAAACTTTTGTTTACTCACGCGTCAAATTTGTTGTTCATTATTTTCTAGGTGGTAGCCTTTCGGAGTCCAACCACAGTCTCCTGAATTCCGCAGGAACGGCGGCGCGCATTGAGGACTCGAGAGTACGCGCACGCACAGATCGGTCGTGTTGATGAACGTGGGGCTACCTTTATATATACAGTCTATGGGGGCTACACACAGATTTCCTCAGTTTGTCACCAAATGTAGTTATTTAACACTTGGAATATACATACTTATTTAAAGCTTAATTACATCAAAAAATATGGGACACATCACCACCAAGTAGTTTTAACATTTTATTCATTATTCGCACATCTCACTCCCAAACATAATAAATACACAGCCACTCCTAATTAGTCAATTATAGCTTTCTGAAATGTCTCTGTTAACCCTGGCTCAAATGAATAACCAGAAACCCTGTGACTTCAAGAAACAGACATGGTTACAAGCAGGCAGACACACACCAACACACATACGCAGCCTCAACACAAAAAAGGACTGGCGGCTTCTTCTTATGAACCGGCCTCCTCTGATGTGCCGCATCCTTCGTTTCATCCCTTGCACCCGTCCGCTTGTCATCTGTTCTGGCGGCAACTTCAAACCCTGGCTCTGTTCAGGTCCAGGCAGAGCTGTGGACCGAGTCTGGGGGGACAAAAAGGGAGCTGGGGGGTGAGGATGGAGTCAGGAACAAAATGGACTTCTTTAGGTCCAGCCTGACTTTGGTGTTAGTCCGGATGGTACTCATGTTGGGTAAGAGGTACTAAAACCCTGTGTCTGTGTATATGGCCAAACAATGCAAGCTAGGTGAGGTGCAGAGTGTCTGGGGGACAGGGATGGGAGGAAAGCTCTGGTATGGTATGGCACGGTATGGTGTGGTGTGGTTTGGTTGGCTCTGCTGTCGGAGACCATCCCCTCGCCCCTTGCCCCCTGTGCCTCTGTGAGGACCTTCATGAGAGGGCCCTTTGTTCCGGGCCGGCAGGCGCACCAGCGAGTGGATGAGCAAGAGGATCGGCGGCCCTCTTCAATGGCGGCTGTTTGTTTACACCAGCCAGTCCCGTCATACTTCATTAGCAGCCCAGCCCACCGACAACCTCTGATGTCCTAATCGCCGATGAGTGTGTGGCTGCCCATCAGCCCTGAGCCTCAGCGGGTTAGGATAAAGGGGTTTCCAGGATTCCCGACACACACATTCCCACTAAATGTGCCTGCCTTCTCAGCCACTGGTGGTACACATACATGCACACACAAACAAACACATCCTCCATGGTGAGGGTGGATGGGAGAACTGGTTCTTTCATCATGGGCCAAGAGGCACCGGGAGGTGAGTCGACGTCAGCGGAGCAGCAACAGTCCCAGAGAACTAGCTCTGCATCACAGAGATGTGAGAGATCTGCCGCCCAGAGAGAGCAAGAAAAAGTGATTAGTCAGTGCTGCCATCCTCTGACACAAACACAGATTTATAATTGCAGGTTTAAAGTAGGCATAAGGGTTATTAATTGAATTGATCTGGAGGAATGACTTTCTGTCAAGCTGCTGCCCCTCTTCCTCATCCTACCATCAAGCTTCCAAAATCATAATCATTTGATTTGTTGAGCTTCGTTGAAATTGAAACACTGGGACAGGTTATAGAGACAGTTTCTTTACCATAATGCCAGGGCTGCGACAAAATATGTTTTGACGGAATGTTTGTGGTTAATACTTAAAAACGTTATTCTATATAGTTGTGTACTTTTATCCTAAAATTCCTGTCCTCCTTTAGCCATCTATTTTTATATCTCTAATTAGATAATAGAAATTCTGCCTTTTGTAATATACATTTTGAATGTTGGTATATTTTATAGATTCTGTAAATCACCATGACAAAATCCCGGGTTGATTGGTGGGATAAGGAAGATTTGTCAGTCAGTGTTACCAAGTCGTTTTTCTCATTTAACAGTACTACATTATTTCCAATAACTGACCTCTTCAATGGCTCTTCCCAGTCTCTCCTGGCTTTTCACCACCTTCCTAAAAAAGACACAAAACCACCATTATTTATGACAATGACAAAATAATACCAAAAGATACTGTTTTGAGTTATTCAATCATGTTCTGATTTGAATATGTCCTACCTGTGTATCCTGCGGGCCAGGCTGAGGGTGAAGCTGGCTGAGCAGTCAGGCCTGTAGGTGGAGGGCACGATGGTGTAAGCTCCAGGAGAGAGGCAGCAGGCCAGGAGGACATCCTGGGTGAAGCAGTGAGGGACACAACTGGCCGCGGGGTCCTCGTCCCTGGGTAATGTCTGCTGGGATTCCCCTTCTGACAACTGCACACACAGATCAAAGGCTCAGGCAGTGTAGAGTTATTATCAATAGCAATCGTATTTTAATACTTATATTAATATTTAATACTACTACAAATATTTTTTTCTTCACAGGCTAGAGGTGTTCATTAATGGTAACGTTGCAGACACTAACAACTAACTTACATTTCAAGATATTATCATGTATCATATTATTTGAAGATATTATTAAGACCAAAATATACACAAACTATTTTTTTTAATTCTAATGTTTTAATCTTTTTTATGGTGTTTGGTCTACAAGTGCAAACTACTTGTGAGCTAACCATAGCACTTTTTACATTAATGTTTTCAAAACTCTCAGGTTGATTAACATGCCCCTAAAAACAAATACATGATTGCTTTTTTACCCTAATAAGAGGCTATTTGTTGTTCCTAAGAAAATTCACAGACATACAACTACAGTATGTGAGCAAATGTAAAGTTAGCTTAAACACCTAAAGGTTTCAATGTTAGAACGCACAAAAAGAAAAAACATTGAACAGAGTGTTTTGATTGAGTTGAATGTGCTGTCTACATGACACTGGTAATCTCCCTTTGTTTGACTGACCTTATAAACGTGGAAGCCAATAGGGTGGAGGTCCGTGTCAGGGCGGCTCTGGTGCAGGGTAATCCTGACATTAACTCCTGGCGTCACTGCTGACTCATCACAAACTGTAAAGGGGAAGCAGGGGTTCTGCCAGTGAGACAGGAAGTTCCTGCTTCCTCCAGCTGTCCTTCCCTCCACCCACGAGCCCTGGAAGTAACAGGTCTCCCACTCTCCATCTGTTGTCGACGGCAGTGAAGGTGCTGGGCTCTTCAGGGCACTGAGGAGGTGATAGAATTCATTGAAGTCAATTGCAGCACATATGGCAAAACATGGAAATAGGAAGATGTGGAGAAAATAAATTGTGAGGTGACTAATTGACCAGCAGATGTCACTGTTTACCAGCTGATACCTTTTTATTGGCATGGAGAAAAAGAATGTGTGCACAAATAAATCATAAATCATGATCTTAAATGAATAAATAATAGTCATGATAGAACAGTTAACAATAATAATAATAATAATAATAATAATACATGGGACTTTTATAGCGCTTTTCCTAATGCTCAAAGACGCTTAATAATATCAACAATGTATGATTAAGAGATTGTTGAATGAGCAAAATAGCTAATCCCGTTTTGATTTTGGACGGAAACATGTTTTTTACATCCATTAAAAGCACATGAATCCAAAAAAGTTCAAAAGTACTCGGACTTTTTGAAATTGGAATTTGTTCAAACGTTATAATCACACAAAGAAACATAACCTGGATGTATTTTTTGTTTTGAGTATTTTTAAATAAATAATTGAAGCCTATTTACTCTCTCTGACAGTTGTCCTTACCTGAGAGACGTGGGGGAGGAGGAGAACCCCCTGATGAGGAAGCGGGCCTCCGCTCCTGGCTGATAGGTGCTGGGGATCAGCAGGTAGAACCCAGGCTCCAGCTGCTGATGGAGAACCACCTCTCTCTCGTAGGCGTGGCAGTAAGTGGAAACACAAGGTGGTTTGTTCAACATTCGGCTAAGATTGAAACGCCTTTTCTCCACCTAGCAGCAGGAAAACCTTTAGTGACACAATGCAAAGTCACAAATGTTTATTTTCCTTACAAGCGATGGGACAAACCTTCCACATGTGTAGAGCGATAGCCTGGTAGTGCTGGTGTTTTGTGTTTTTGCTATCCTCTAATAGCGTTTGTGTGCAATTCTCTGTCTTCCTCCATTTTCTGTGCTGCAGCAGGGACACTAGCACCTCTCCTCTCTCACACACTTTGAGCCAGAACTTGGGGTTGCTGCCGTAGCTGCTGCAGTTTCGGCTGCCACCAGCGGAGTGACCCTCCATCCACCGGCCGGCCAGCTGGTGGTAGTGTGTCAGTGGACTTCCTGTCAGAGAGGAGAGTTATGGGGGTTAAAAAGGGGAGCCAAGGAGGTCAAGGGTAGTGGGTTTACCCTAATTAATTACACTGTCTATGAAGACCATCTTATTAACTGTAGTCAACACGATAATGAAGCATGCAATATTACGGATGCATCGATATGTATATGTATGATCACATATTTAACAAATAAAGTAATAACTTATAATATTTTGTGGCTTTTTATAGCATACTTTGAGTCCAGTAGATTGTTGAGGTGTGTATAGGAAGTCATGATGTATTCAGTCAACCTGTAGTCTTTAACAATTGAAAAAGATCCATAAAATACTTATAATTCACATGTGTAATGTTTTATGTTTATATAGTGTATCAGAAAGCATTGTGTGTTTACATTTGTGCAGTCTTGAAACATTATAAAAGCATTATCCTTTACTTTGAATGTCCTCATAATACACTTAAGATGTGGTCTTTAGAAATTACCAGTATAGATGCTCTTAAGGTGCCCTTCATCACTGATGGGGTAGCCCACTGTGACCTCATCAAACTGGGACAGGAATTCAGTCTCATCCAACCAGAACTCGCCCTCGGCCACCCTGGCTTGTAGGTCCGAAGCCAAGGCAGGGTCGACAGAACTCCAACCAGCACCACTGCAGACAGAGAGGTATGGTGCGTGAATTCAGACAATACATCAATTCTGAAAGGTGCTTTCTCTGGGCTTTCCACAAAAACTTTAGGTGCTGTCGTCTGAAGACACATCTCTTAATCTTAACTATGACACACATAAGCAGACACATGCCTACCTCCCTATCCAGGCCCCTCCCCAGCAGCATCTTCCCCAGGGGTTTCTGATCCTGAGCAGCAGCTGTTTGCTCCCTGACAGCGTCTTCACATCCAACCACTCCATGACAGTCAGCGCATGGTACTGACCCAGCTCACTGGCACCTGCAGCAGTAATCCAGGTCAACAGGTGACAACGGATTGAAATCCCTTTCTCAATGTTTAAGCCTGAACAAAAAATGCATGTTTTTTTTTGGATCGTGCAAGAAAGTTTTATGAAACCTTGTGACGAAGATGGCTTCGTCACTGTGGACTGACAGCTTCGGGCCTTGTACTATTGCACATGTGCTTTTATTTTGAAAAGGGTTTCCCTTTCCCCATGTCTGTTACTCCTGATTATGTTCACCTGGTGCCCTGTGTTGTCTCCTCCCCCCTCACCTGTGTCTAATTGCTGATTAGTGGGTGTGTATTTAGGTTCTGTGTTTCCTGTTTGGTGAAGGCTGGTAGTGTGTGTGAGATCCTGGTGGCGGCAGGATGTGTGCAAGGAGAACAGCAGGATTGAGGCTGTGAACTTTGTGCACATTATTTTAATAAATGCCCACGTCGGGTTATATTTTTGGACGTTCTGCCTCTGCCTCCTTGCTTGGTCTGGGCCGCTCAACGGTAGGGATGGGTATCGTTTGAAATTTATCGATTCCGATTCTGGTTCTGCTTATCAATTCCGGTTCTTATCGATTCCCCGTTTCGATTCCAAAATTGTAAAAGAAAGAGGTCAAACGTTTAGATAACAAAAATATCTTTATTCTTTTCAGCTTTAACTGAAATTGTTACAAATAAAAAATATACATGCAATACAAATGTATTGCACAATAGCTGTGCTTTATTTTAACTGAGCTATGCCTGTGGCAAGCTATTAACACTGTGCCCAATTGTCTTTTTATTTTTTAGTGTAGTGGAGCCTCACTTCAGAGCGTTTACCGCGACCCATCTTTGGTGTTATGAAGTGACTGAGCTCGTGAACTGTCTACGGGAGGGCGGGGGGAGCCTCGCTGCGGGGCAACTGTGGACCTCTGTCGCCTGTCAGCGCAACTTACATGATGCCGTTTAAAAAAATTAAGGGCGGTGCCGGCCATCAGCGTACCGAGCCGGCCGTCAACGGCCCGCTGACGACCGGCCGTTCTGTGATTCCACCAGGTCGCCGCGGTACAGACGGACCCGCTGGAATACAGGGTCTACCGCGTTTAGGAACCGTTAAGCAGAACCGAAAAGGTGTATTTTGTACGGGTACCCGGTACCCGGCATTTTCTTATCGGTTCTCATCTGGAACCGAGTTTCGGTTCCCAACCCTACTCAACGGTCAGCTTCACAAACCTGGTCTCTGTTTTTTTAGCTTTTTCAAGGGCCAGCTATTTCCTTTAAATGTATTAGATGCAAATGATATACATGCAATATATAACAATATATTAAGCCTTATTTTGCATATTATGCCTTGTAACACCCTTCTCAAATGTTGTCTGAATTGCCCTGCATTATTACTATTTTGAATCTATGAGGTTGAGGGGGCAATGATAACATACAAATAAAAACACATCACTTATTTCTGCATGAAATCTGCTTTTTTCTGACCTCCAGGACTGCTTTGAGTGGAGCAGCTGACTGCACACTCTTCCTTCACTGAACACAGGAGGTTCAGGTCCAGCCTTCTCCTCCTGACCTGGTCACTGTCCTGTTCTGGTCTCTGCTCCTCCTCTGTCTCTCCCAAGCTCCAGCGCTCCGCCAGCCCCCCACTCAAATCCACCAGGGCCTCAGACACCTGCCCTGCCCACAGTCGCTCATAAGAGCCATGAAGCCTAAAGAAGGTGAAAGGGACATAAAATGGGATAACCTTAAAAAACTGTCTTTAATCAAAGTGCATTGTGAGTAGAGGGACATTCCTGGAGCTACTTACTTGGCATAGGCCTTCTCCAACAGGGCTACCCAAAAGGCAGCAGGGGAGTGGCAGCGTGAGAAGCAGGGAGTGGAGTTAATGCAGGGTAAGCGATCGTCGATTGTCACCTCTGTCCAATGTCCCAGTTTCCAAAAACAAAACTGGAAGGAGCCCCTGTACCTGCTGTCCCCCCAAAGGGGCTGGTCTGGAGGCAACACCTACAAAGAGTCACAGAATGAATCCACAGAGTATAGGAGGTACGGTGGATAATGGGCTTATGACATGCTTTTTTACAGCAAGCTAGTCTAGCCACTGGCATCATTCGCTTCTCCAGATTCAGTACAATGCCAGAGCTGCAGATAATATTTGATCAAATCTAAAGGAGAATACAGTTGTTGCTTTAGTACCTTGTTCAGGAGATATCTGTTTTTGAGCAAGAAAGAGCAGGCACAGAGGAACCAGCAGTCTCCCAATAAGCCTTGTTTAGCATGAGCAAGGGTGATGTTGTCAGGGAAGAGAGCAGGGGACTGGCAGATCTCCTGGAGTTGTGAAAAAGACGTATATTAAAAGACGCTGATTTAGAAATGGTCAATAACGCTGGTATTTGTTGTTTTCGTGGTAAAAGAAATTAGGCGCAGAACGTTTTTTAAGTGTTTAAACTGAATGTAGGCCAATAATGTTGATCTTATTTAATTTAAGTTCCAACAAATTGAATCAGAAGTTGTTAATATTGAGCTCAAGGCCTCTCCCAATATGCTTGTATCAATCTATAATTTGTCGGGTTGCAAGATGATGCACATAGACATAAATAAAAAAAGATAAATGTATACATATCTAATATAGTGTTTTAAATAGTACAAAATAACACTGAACTTCTGACATGAGGAATTCTTCTCACTGATGCAACTTATTTGGTTGCCAAAAATGAATTAAGACACTGGATATGCAATCATAACCCATGAACAAAACAAACAGAGGAATGCACGCTGGCATTTCCACAGTGTCCCTGACCTGAGGACGTCGCCAGGTGACTTCTCCCTGCAGCGTGGCGATGGGCGTGGAGCTGTCGGAGAGCAGGGCCCTGTCGTCAGAGGGGAAGTCCAGGTCCTCGAACAGAGCCTCGCCTAGTCCAGAGCCTTCCCTGCCCGCTTCTTTCATGGCTCCTTCTCACAACCTGGATATCACCTGCCGGGACAGTGGGTGGACCTCAGCCAGCTGTGACCATCCTCACAGCCGCCATGTACCTTTCATACTAATATTGCACCTATAAAAAAAACATAGTTTTATTAAAATGTTCAAAAGATTGTGGTTTTCTGCAAATGTACCAATATAAAGCTGCACCTTGCTGCAGATGTAAATAGAGAGGTGGAAGTCTCACCCTTTTTATAAATCAGTGAATGTCTTTCCTTTTCCTTTTTATATTATGTGACAGAACCAAATCAAACACAATCAGTTCACCTTCCTTCATAATTCAAAAACAACAATTCATATAATATAATTTTACAATGGATATATTTACACCACTACACCATTGCATGTATGTAAAGTGTCTTTTAGGTGTTTAATATCAGGGGGAAACATAGTAAAACTTTGTAGTTACATGTGTGCTTACCACTGGGTAAGCACACATGTTTATTTTACCTTTAATTTATGTTACCCACAGCAGGAGAGAAACATGAGAGAACCTGTTTGAATATATCTCTTTACTTAATTGTAATTTTACAGACATAGCATGTATTTGTGTGGCTCTCTTCTGTACTTCTGTATCTTACCGTTTTCCCCTTTTAATCATCTTTCCCCTCGTAGCTGGCGTTACACAGCAGCTAACCGTTAGCTCGAGCTAGCTTCTCATGCACACAAGCATAATACTAGCATGTCTGTATCGCTTCATCTTATCATGGTTTAACAAACATAACTACAACTACACCGAGTTTTTTTTATCCAGAAGCATGACATATTTTATTATGACTGCCAGTTATTTCCAAACCAGGCACATCATATTGCTGAATATGGAATATAAATCCTCTTCCGCTTGGATACCAGCAGTTCATTCATGAAGTGAATCCTTCCTGTCAGGCTTCACTCTCCCGCCACCCACTGCCAGGACTGTGAACTACACACTGTACTGTCACATGTTTTTCAATGTTTTTAAGGGTCAAATGTACATTATTTGTTTAAAAAATGCACAGAGTAGCCTACTAATAAAGGAAAAAAGGAAAGTAACTAAGAAAGTATCTTATATAGGAAATCAGTCAGTTCTGATCTAAAGCTGAATTGAAAGGTATTGATAAAGAAGAAGCTTATGAAACTGCAATATAAACTTAGATGATTCATATCTCCAAAGAGCCCAGGATGCGTTTGTGAGCTAAATTGAGAGCAAATTGAGAGCAAAATGGATTGAAGAAGCTGCATTTCATATTTCAAGCAATCTAAAGAAGATCTAGAAGACCAACAATAAGACAGTGGCAAGCTGATAAATAGAGTAAAATACAAAAGGAAGTTGTAACATAATCTCTATGCATCTGTTTACTTTACTCCAATGTTGATTCTAACAAAAATGTTTTGGGAAAAAAACATATTGTATTCCAATTCGTAACTCATTGTTGATGACTTAGGTTAATGATTTAAATGCAAACTAAGATTGTTGTACTGTCCTTTCTGTTCAGGTACTTAAATCTGAAGGCAAGGCAAGTTTATTTATATAGCACCTTTCAACACAAGGCAATTCAAAGTGCTTTACCAAAATGAAAGACATTGAAGCAAGACTGAAGTGAAGTAATGCAAAATATATAACTTGTGTTGAGCCTGAAATATTACATTCATTTCCTTTCAGCAAAAGTTACCAACGAAAGACCCACTGAAGGAAAATAGTTTAAACTCTGCAGAAAATGAAAACAGGATAACATCTCTTGTCCTCAATCAATAATTACTAAAGTCATATTTACTGCTTTCAGAAACTGTCACATTTAAGATTAGATAAGATTACTTTATTGTCAATACATGATAATGAGGTGCTTGAGTATTTGTATGTTGTTGTATTGCAACCTTTACCGAAGAACAATTTCTCAATACATCTTACTGCATGTAACAGGTTTGTCGCATTGAGATCTTTATCTTTTATCAAGACAGACCTGAGAGAAAACAATACAATGTGCAAAATACCACATTACATCCTGCTGACCTCTTTTGCTATAGACAACATTATGAAGCAATGTAGACAAGACATGTCCTCTATGATTATGACCACACATCATTATGTATTGTCCTTTTATCCAATTACCTTTTAAATTAATGTTATGATGTGTTAAACCTAACACACCCTTGGTTAATATCACACATAACCATTGCTTATAAATGTTTGTATACACGACAGTAACTTGCAAATTGTGGAAATGGGGTGTGACAAGCAAGTCAGAGTCAAATGAAACACATTTTGTATTACGAAACGTCTAACATGTCACACTGTTTATTTTTCATCAAAATGCTAAACATTTATTAACAACGTCAATGTATCCAGTCTATAAGAAAGCAAGAGCTCTTCATTTGGATGCTTTGAAAATCTATTTTCAAAGAGGACATTTTTTAAACGTCTGAGTAGGTATAAAATGAATAATGCTGAATTTAATTTAACTACTTCAGTTGCAGGGTCCTGGTATTGTGCGTGCTGGCTCAGAGTCACACTGCCTTGGCTTTGTCATGTTACTGGTAAAACTTTTGATATTTGTCAACTCTTCTCACTGGTTTGGAGAGGGCTGTGAGAAAATGCACATTGAAAGTTAGCCGAGTTGTCTGCAGAAACCCCTTCTCTCTCTGTGAGTGGGTGTCGTTTGATGTCTCTTTCTCACAGAAAACTGGTTTCCTAAAATAGCCTCTTCATTAAGGCAAGGCTCAAATTATTTAATGTCTGTTTTAAAGCAATACCCCAATTTCCATATGTATTTTGTAAACTTTTCATTACAAAAAAGACAGTACCTTTGGAAGATACCCAATTAATATACCCCCTCCCTAACGGAGGCTGCTGATGCCTCATTTTAACTTCACCTGAAAATAAACTGTAGATGAAAATAAATGTCTTCAGTCTGTACAGGTGGAACATTTATAGTGAACAATAACTATGTATACATGGCGATGTGAGTATTGTCTCACTGCCAAGGTGCAATTTAGAGACAATAATTCAGTTGCATAGTAATGACTTGTAAATGCACGTTGTAGGAAATCAGAGGTGAGTTATGACAATTAAAGCATGCTGTGGGTTTGTTGGAAAGTTCAATATGCACAATTGGACACACATTAAGTGTTTCATGACCTATTTCAGCGCACTTTTTCCTTCGATGCACGGTAAGTGTTCTTCTGGCCTAGAAAATAACCTCCGTACAACCACAAAGCAACCTACTTACATACGGGGGGCCCAAAGAGAGGTCTTCAGTGACACACGATGTCTTTATCCTATCTACATTTTAAGTACATTTTTGATTTTGATTAAATATTTGCTGCCTTTCCCAGTGTTTTGTGTGGTAAAGTCACACAGAGAAGTAGCCACACCTGTGTCACTTCCCATGTAGCACTTGACTCTTTGTCGTATCTAGGAGTGGTGATGGAAAGACGTAACAAACTTGTTGTCTAATGTGCTGGTTTGTCATTACAGTTTTAATTATTTTCTTACAGTATATTTATATATGGTTGACATGCCAAGTGATACAATGACTTATATATAGATATTTTTGTAGCATGCATAATCATTCATCAACAATAATATTCCATTAATATTGACAGTAAAATCCCTGAGAAAACAACACTGAATTATTATGGGTTGACTGACCTTTAAGCTTTAAAAGTTTGACCTAACAACATATTTTTACATTCAAATTGCATTATGGAGTTTTTTTATTTAATAAGATCTGATTCAAACTAGAAATACACATGCACATGCGTCAGTACTATCTTTACTAACAACAATGCTCCTGCTACCTGCGTGTGTGAGAGAGAGTGTGTGTGTGTGTGTGTGTGTGTGTGTGTGTGTGTGTGTGTGTGTGTGTGTGTGTCCTCCCCCCACACTTTCTCTTTTTTTAAAGGGGAAATTGACGGGGGTTTTCTGTGATGTTGTAATATGTTCATCTCTTCCATGTGGAAGTTTCCTACCTCTGAGAATTATAAAAGGCGGCAGTCCTTGACAGCTCAATGAACACAACCTCCCTGACACCGCCTGAGGACAGAACAGCTCAGAGTCTCTGCTGCCAACACAGAAGAAGACATGGTGTCAATCAAAGCTTCAGTGATGGTGATCACACTGCTCACCGTTTGTCTGCTGGCCACAAATGCATCTCCAGGTATTATAGTTTCCTTCGTTTCTATGGTTTGATTTTAAATGCTTTTCCTATATGGTTTTATGTTTTGATATAAAGATGCATTTCTCTTAACTTGTTTTTTTCTATCCAGTATCTAATGATCTTTTCTCCTTTTTTCACAGGATGTTGTCGAAATTACATGAAAACCAAAATACCATTTCTTAAAATCAAGGGGTACTCTGTCCAGACAGTCACAGGGCTGTGTCCTATCAGTGCCATTATGTGAGTGTCTCCTCCTTCACAACCAGACATTAAAGATGTATGCCCCATAACATTTATGTTTATAAGTGTATAATCTTTTTTCTTTTCTTATAATCCATAGTTTCCACACAAAGAAGGGTAAAGCATGCACTGACCCTGCTTTGAACTGGGTGATGTACTATGTTGACCGTTTAAGGTAAGATTAATTTCATACAATTGTGCAACATAACTCAGAAACTGTGATATTTTGCAGGCTGTGAAATGTATTTACACAAAAAGATTGAATACAATTATAACAGGATCAATTCTCATTGCAGGAATAAAGCACAAATGGTTCACATGAAGTCCACACAGGCTGGTATTTGAAGAGAGACGATGGAGCCGTTTTCCTGCCTGTTACCCTCATACTGTGAGACCAATGATGTTTTACAGTTCAGTTATTCAGTAACTGAACTGTGAGACACTGGCAATGCAACACAAGAATCAGCTCAGTTGTAAGAGCAATTTAGAATATTATTTTCATATTATTTGTGTTTTATAATGAAATGTATTTGTACATAATGTTATAATATATAATCATTAAAGTTTTGTTAAAAAAAAGGAATACATTGTGACAAGTCTCTTAATTAAAACACTACCGTGCATGGTCTATTGTTAAAACGTAACAATTAAATTGCTACACGTGAAAACATCTTTACACTTTACTTCCTTGTTTATGATCACGGTGAGAAATTCCAGCTCTGGAAGTTTTGTGTTCTGTGATCAAAACATGGCAAAAGTGCTGTGACGTTAGAAGGAGGAAGTAATGAGAGCTGTTTGAAGCACATTGCAAAATAGGTATTTCCATGTCAACAGACATGCTTACATCACCTGTACTGAAGAGGAGTGATAATCATTTATAGGTCATGGTGTAATGATTTTCTGCTGGTACTATCCTTTAACTTATTAACTTTTAACTCTTGGAGAATAATACAGATATTTGTATATATATTGCTAAATAGGTAGTTTGAATGAAAGTAGTTCCAAAACATTGTTATAGACAGTGGTGTAAAGTAACTAAATAGATGTACTCAAGTACTGTACCTAATTTTGTACAACTTTACTTGAGTATTTCCATGTTATGCTACTTTGTACTTCTACTCCACTACAGTACAGAGGTAAAAAGTGTAATTTTACTCCAATACATTTATTTAATACATTTAGTTGCTTCTCAGATTTGGATTAAACAACACTTAAATAAGACTTTAGTTACAGCTGGAGTAAATTCACAAGCTACCCTGTATACAATATATATATATATATATATATATATATATATATATATATATATATATATATATATATATATATATATATATATACAAAGTCAGTAAAAATAGCTGCACCTTTACCAACTTTGATAACACTTTAACAATAACAATAATTATAATCAAAACATATAATATATATATGATTCTGAAATGGGCCAATCTGCATAATGAAAACTTTTACTTTTAGTACTTTATTAAGTATATTTTGATGCTTATACTTTTGTACTTTTACTTGAGTAACTTATGCAATGCAGGATTTTTACTTGTAGGCCTACTTCAAAACAACAGATAAAGCTAGAAATCTAGGTGTAGTCATGGACTCTGACCTGAGTTTCAACAGTCACATTAACAGTTACTAAATCAGCCTACTATCACCTAAAGAATATATCTAGGATTAAAAGACTAATGTCACAGCAGGATTTGGAAAAACTTGTCCATGCTTTTATCTTCAGTAGACTCGACTACTGCAATGGTGTCTTCACAGGTCTCGCTAAAAAATCTTTTAGAAAGCTGCAGCTGATTCAGAACGCTGCTGCTCGAGTCCTCACTAACACTAAGAAAGTGGATCACATCACTCCTGTTCTGAAGTCTTTACACTGGCTTCCTGTGTGTCAAAGAATAGATTTCAAAATACTGCTGCTGGTTTATAAAGCACTGAATGGTTTAGGCCCAAAATACATGTATGACCTTCTAATAAATTATGAACCATCCAGATCTCTCAGGTCTTCAGGGACTGGTCAGCTTTCTGTCCGCAGAGTCAGAACTAAACATGGAGAAGCAGCGTTCAGTTATTATGCTCCAAATATCTGGAACAAACTCCCAGAAACCTGCAGGTCCGCTGCAACTCTGACTACTTTTAAATCCAGGCTGAAGACTTTTCTTTTTGTCGCTGCTTTTAATTGAACTATTCTTATCTTAAACTGCACTGTAACTTTTATTCATGTATTGTAACAGAGTATTCCTACACTCTGGTACTTCTACTTTTACTCCAAGTCCAAGATCGGTGTACTTCTTCCACCTCTGGTAGAATACTTTGAACATGGAAAACCAAAGCCAGGGTTACAAAGTGTTCAAGTGATACAGAATAATTTTTAAAAGTACTTATATTTTAAAGTAGAAAAACAATTGTAGATCGAGGATCAGTTAAAATCATAAAATTAAAAAAATAGGATAAACTGTAAAAATGAAGTATATCATGTTCACATTACAGAATGATCAGCTTGTGCACGTAGTCGTTTGAATAACTCTTTGACCACTAGATGGCGGTAGTATCACTTCAAAGAAGAAGAGCTGTGAAATGATGTTCAGCGGCACTTTTATTAGTTTTTGCTGTTTCAGTGCTATTTTTATTTGGAAAGTTTTATCATAAAGCATTCTAAAGATCAGGGCTACATCAAACAATGATGTTGACTTCAAGCTTCATCTTGAAACTTCTTCCTTCTCGACCGAGACTCGACGTGGGTGAGTTTCATGTCTCTCACATATTCTTTCCTGTATTTTAAACAGCAACAAATAAGTACGTTGATTGATGTACTTGATGCCCAATCCTTGGCCATCGGCTGTTGGCAACACCAACAAAGCAGAACAAACGAGCGTTTTCTCCTGCCGCATGAATCCATCCCAAATGACAGTCTGGAGCAATGCTCACAGCCACTATTACATCACCTCCACTGTTCTGCACCACTGTACAGAGTGCTTTTCTATGAATAATACAGAGAGACTGTGAAGAGAAGGACCTGGACATGTATAACTAAATGACAGGGAGTATATACTTTTAGAAAAATGTGATAGAGTCTATGGAAAGACAGTGTTGGAAAGATATTCTGGAGTGGGCTGAATAGGATTTATATGATGAATTCACACCGTAAATAATCCCATCAAACACAATTGCATGGATATTGATTTAACTTTATTGGATTAATTTATGAATCAGACATGCTTCCTTCAACACATTCCTTGATATATCTCAACTGTGTTTATATTATATGAAATACAGATACAGTGCAGAGTTGTTGTGGAGGGGAAAAGAGAGATGGCAGCAGCGTGGCCGGTCACACTATCTGCAGGAAGACAAGGTTATATAGACTTGTGTGTTTCCCCATGAGAGAGCAGTCTGCTTTAGTATGAAAAGAAAATAACATATTGCACTCTGGGATGAGCAGACAGGTCTTTTATCATGGCATTCATGCACACACACACTGGCAGAAAAGCAGACAGTGTCTCATGAAGCTCAAACACAGATAATGAGACATCCTCAGAGAGGTGAGAACAATCTGCATTAGAAAATTGCTTATATCCTGGCCCATCTGAAGTAACCCCAGGAAGGATATTAGAATAAATAAACTTAAAACTAGAACATTATTTTCATGTGCTATAATCTTTTTTTGTTTGCCCTTGACTTTCCTTTCTTTATCTCTCGCTCATTCTTGCTGGCAGAGTTAACACAGAGTTAACTGCTCGGTGTATAATTAGACAAACAAAAAAGACAAGGTTGAAACATCTAAAGGAGAAGAGACTCCAAATGATTACACATTCACTCCGTTTCCTTCCCCCTTGCTGCACACATAACCACCAATTAGAGGAGAGGAGGATGAGGACAAGCAAGCCGCCAGAAGTCTATTTGTGTCTATCTCTCTTGTTCTTTTTCTCTCTTCCCCTGAACACTATCCAGCACCGGGGAGGGAGGAAGAGAGGGTAAAATAGAAGTGAAAAACAAGAAGTATATAAATAAAGAAATCAGTGTTTCACATCCGGTCGGCTGATTGGCTGAGACGCGAGTTGGGCAGATCTGGGCCACAGTTGCACTCATTGTTCAGTGAGCTTTCTACACAGTCCAACCCAGCGACAGCAATGAATGTTGATTGTGACCTATGGTCTTTGCGTACAGTGGAAATAGAGTGTCACTTTTGTCTATGCATGTGTGTGTGGCTTCGTGTCTAGATTTTACATGCGCCCACTTTGCCCTTTTGTTCATTTCATTCCAGGCGTCGTCAGAGCAAGCCTCGGGGCACAGTCAACGGTCGATGGTTTTTATGTGATCCATATCAAAACTCACCGACAGCGTTGAATGTTCACCGAGGCAAGCAGGAAGGAGAGTGTGAGCCGAGGTGACAAGACGAGGCAGGATGTGGAGGAGGGAGGACAGAGGGACAGGGAAGGAGGCGAGGATGTCACTCACAGCCCAGAGGTCAGGACGCACAGCAACGGGACATAATGAAATAGGACAGTGGCAGAATGAGTCCACTGTCCACAGGGCAAACATGCTTCTGCTTATGTTGTACATGATCGTGATGTGTGGAGAAGCTGGAACACAAACTGAGAGGATCTGCTTTATTGCATTACAACCGCCTCATTAACCAGAGGAACTTCATTCATCTCCACTTCAAACACGGCCGTATCAGCATCTGAAACACAGAAGAGGAAGTTGTTAGCACTGATGTTGCACAATATTGTAGAAAAACTGTCCCTCCTCATTTCCTTTTGTAGAATTCAGATATTTCTTTTTTGGGGTAAAATGGATAAATGAAACCAAAACTATTATCATAATAGTAATAATCTACTACCTCTTCCCCTTAGCGCATTGACATATTTTAGATTGTTGCTTTTAAATTGTCTATCGTTTTTACTTGTACTTGTTTTATGGTGTGTGGGCTGTGCTGTGTGATTTTTTGTATGTATTGTTTGTTTATTTGACTGCACAGCACTTTGGTCTGGAGGTTAAATATAATGTAAAAAATAAATACTCTATATATTTAAAAGTAATTCAATAGATGTTTTACTTTCGTATTTAAAGCCATTCTTTTGTTGCACAGAACACTATTAGAGAAATATTGCGGAGCCTGCCACTGTTCTTGTGGACATCTAGTCCGGTGAACAATGCTGCGATGTCCCACTGTGCAGCCAAGCTTTTCAGACCCCAGCCATGCCAGACCACAGGCTGAGAGCTCCTATTGTCAGGAGCAGGGCAGAGCCACCGACAGTGTGGCTGTGCTCCTGCGCAGACGGGGGGGGCTGACGTCAGGATGGTAAACGCTGATCTATGGTCATTCATCGCACCGCTCCATCGGCTTAGTGTGCTGATGTCATTCAGCGGGCTAGACCTGCATCTATTACTCTGCTGAGGATGGCAGACGTCAGGCTAGCATGATCACACACTGGCTACAATGAATGAGTAATGCATCACGTTATGGCAGCTATAATTCAGAAGGTCATAAAATAGACAGTTTGCTTTATGTCTGGGTTCTTTGAATTATTGCCTCTGCATTCTTTCACAGGCATGCTTTGATTTTATGAATATGTAAACATGTACAAATTCATTTGGATGCTCATGGCAAAATACATCCAGTATCTGGTCACATAATGTCCTATTATGTATTATAACATGTACAACTACTTAAATGAATAACATGAAACACTATATCCATACACATGTTTTTTGTCCTTGTTCTGCTTGCTTTTTTCTGGTGTGAACTGCAGCATGTGAACTAGAAGTCTCTTTTCTCTCAGGGTGAAGCAGCTCAGATAAGAGACTAAATTCATAAGCCATATTACATCTTCCCTACTCTGTCACACACACACACACACACTTACGCCTCACCCCACAATAAGCCCTAAAACGAAAACTAGGCAGAGGGTCGAGGGAGAAGAGAAAAGGGGGCTTTGCCATGGCAACCCCAGTGTCAGCCAGCCATTTCTTCTTAATCCCCCCCCAGTTCAATGTCGCGCCCTCTGAGAGACCCCCCTCTCTACAGCTGAATATTTCTTTTGTGTTGAGAGACTCTGTAAATGTGTGTCTATGTGTGTGTGTGTGTGTGTGTGTGTGTGTGTGTGTGTGTGTGTGTGTGTGTGTGTGTGTGTGTGTGAGGGATCATGGAGGGGGAGGATTGGGGTTAGAGGGGGGGGAGATCATAGCTAACCCAGCTTAAATGGGGGGCCAAGCTGCAAGCCACATAGTCTCAACATTACATCGGGGGTACCAACTTAAGATCAAATCACATACACACACACGTGCATATACACATTTAAACACTATATTGATGGAGGGAGATAATCTTCTGAAATGGCAGATAATTGCATCATATGGCAAACAGCCAGGCCCTTCCTCCCCGAGCCTAGCGCTGACAAACTCTGCATTTAATTTTTTTTTTTTCTCAACGAAACTCTCGTGGTATCTGGCTCTTTCCTGAGCAGGCCACTTTACATTACAGACAAAAGCGGTTTTGGAGAAGTGGGTGGGGAGAGGCGTCAGCTGCTAGACAAAATTAAAAGGCCTCTATTTGTCTCCGACAATAAACGTCCCCATCTTTGGAGCTCCTCCACAGCTGCAGCCAGATAGGCTTTCATTTCTAACTGCACACTAATAGAGAGCAGTGTCTCCTTCCTCGACTATAAGCCGATTTAGTGTGCAGGATAAAAATTCAAGCAGCTTTATAGTCATCTCTCTGAGTTGCCTTTCCACCGAGGAAGAGGACAATAGAATGTGACACATGGTGGATACTCGGTAATAGAGAAACTACGGATTTTGTGAAGCTGTTTTAATGATGTGCAGTATACCTGGTGGAAATAATCTTCACAGAGTCACAGACGTCAAGAGGTGCATTGTGAACACCTATAGATAGAAGACAAAAGCAGATAAAAGACGAACAGTTAGAGGCAAAGCAATGGGCTGGAGACCGACTTCTATATTGCACAGACGGAGGGGAAAAGGCTTTTTCTGACTATCTATAATATAAAGGCACAATTAATTTGGTTTTCACTAAAGGTTCCCTAATCAACAGACAATTAATGTCCAGTGCATCCTCCGGAAATCCCAAAACGCTCTTCCCCCGGGGCTGAGCTATGGAAGCGAGGGGAGGAAGTGCCAGTGGTGTGTCTCTGGGTGGTCCGATGTGGCCGTGGGCGAGACTTTAATGTAGCTGCATGTCCATTCCAGTGTATACTGTACATTCAGCCATAATGACTAACAGACTGCCTGTAGGAGCCTAACACGCCCCTCCATGCCTACAGATGCATATGCTCCACTTTAATGGCAGCCTTCAGACTTTATTTGAAGTGTGCTGTTTAGAAAAAAAACGGAACCCCGGATTTTTCAGAAGGGAGGAAAAACATGACTTTGACGACCTACAGTGCCCTCGGCCTAATATTTGGCCCTGGTGGGTTCATTATATTAAGTGGCCATTTAAACCATTCAAACTGTGGATAATTGCAGTTTCGCTGCTTTGTGGTGGTTCTGTTTCAAGGATATAAAAATCTGGGCATGCCAAACATCTGGCTGGGGTATTAAATGTGACATAGGCTGCGGACATAATTCTAAAAAAGTATAATGTCAGGAAAACTTGGCCAAAGAAACCAACTAAATTTGATGGTCTGTGCAGCTTCTAGTACAATTATTTCCTTCTGTCGTGTAGCCGACGTGTACATTGTACTTGGTTAACTGTGGATATCTGAGCTGACTTAACGAACCTATGAAACAGGGAAAATGCTCCATGTAAATCTAGTCTATTTGAGAGCAAAGGGCACATTGTAACACAAGGTGCAGAGTCTGTTCAACAAGTGCAAAGGCATGAACCAAAAGCAAAGGCATGGAGTTAGTGCATTGGGACTGATTGGCAGGATGGGGTCGTTCGGTGACCCTTGACCTTTTTAACCCCTAGGAATGTTGTCTTGCTGGTGCGTGTATTGTTCCAGCAGTGTATCAGATGAATGTGAACGCTCATTTCCCCCCAAAAAAACTCCCTTTTCTTCCCCTAATCCTTTTTTTTCTGCTCTTCATCCTCAGACTTCAACAAACAAAAGGTATCAACAGGTCTACAGTGGGCTGTTGTTCTGAAGTGCACATGCATGGAGAGAGCCTACTTACGTGGGTGCCAGGCTGACCTAAAAGACCTATAGGATTCAGTAAACAAGAGCCTTATCGCTCATCAAATAAGCCACTGTTTTTATTGGTCCACTCTCCATATCTAAGAGATCTGAGTATCTTCAGGCAGCCTGAGAGTCTGGCTCTGGAGGAAGTCACCAGCAGTCGAGGGAGACTGACAGATGAGAGGGCCAGACAGACAATTACTGGCCAGGTATGTCCTTTATATCCACCTAAGGCTGGTCAGAGGAAATGGAGGAATTTATGATGTCATAAAAAAGTGCCAGAAAGAGAAGTGCCTGAGAACAGGTTGTCTCTGGAGCAGGAGCCATAAAAGACTCCTGCGGCGCCCCCCCCCCTACCACCCGAGATGATAACACTAGACTGAGCGCCCACGATATATGTGTGTAGTTAAACCCCCCTATATATAGAGTGGCAACATATTTTGTTAACAGCTATGAAGCAAATGTGTCATTATATATTAGATTCTAGAGATGGAGAGCAAAATAAATACACAACCTAAGTTCTGTGCATGTAAAGATTTTTTTTATTAGGTACTAGCACCATGTCAATATTTTCCTTTTGTGGTTCTTTATACTTGTCCTCGTCAACAATGCAGTAGAAAATAAATCTAAAAACATACATGCAAACGCATAAATGCTAAAAGTAAGTGATGCTGAATTTATATAAATGTGTTGTATAATTTAATGACTTGAATACTCTTATAATTAATAGTTGTATCCCCAAAGGAAACCCGCTGAAAAACATGTCTAAAAAAATACATTAAAAGCTGTTTTTATGTTTATCTCCCTCAATCTCTAACCCCTGTTGTACAGTTGAAACCACAACAAAAACAAACCTTTACACAGGAAACATCTTTAACAAGACGACACCATCTGCCGCTTCACGCTAAGCAGGTGTAAGGAAGAGAAAGCCTTTAAACGTTCTAAAGGACACCCGTTCCTTTTTGTAAGCACGCACACAAATTCACATCTATACGTACACACACTACACTTCTCTTCCTACTACAAAAGGATAGAGACACACTCGCAGTCGTAGTGCTTGTTAAAATAAAAAAAGGAAGAGAGAAGGCGGTTATTTGCTCTACAACCTCACTAAGGAGGTTTCCCATTGTAAAAAGAGTGGCTGCCCTGTTTCCTTTCATCCCTCTCCTTGAGGCACGCTGTCTTTGTCTCATAGAGGACAGAACAACCAGCCTCCCGGCCACGCTACACCGGTCAAATACCAGGGAACTACCACTGGCCTGCTGGGAAAACTACAAGAGGAGGAGGAGGAGGAGGAGGAGGAGGAGGAGGTGGAGGAGGAGGAGGAGGAAGAGGAGGAGGAAGAGGAGGAGGAGGAGGAGCAGGAGGAGGAGGAGGAGGAGGAGGAGGAGGAGGAGGAGGAGGAGAGACAGAAAGAGAGAAGGGGGAAATAAGGTGTGTGTTTAATCTGAGGCGAGAGACTGAAAAGTCTAGAAAAAGGTGCGTGTGAAATAAAACCTGTCATTAAGTCTCAGTGGAGCTACGCACACCTGGCAGCAAACTGCACTTCAAAAAGATGTCAGACTTGTTGACACCGAAGAAAAAATGCTATAGTATGACTTTAGAAGCTCAAATTATGACCATCTGTTTTTACTTTTCTTTCCTCCTTATTAAAAGGTAGCAACTGTATGTGAGCAATTAAAGACTCAGAGGTTAGAAAGGCAGGTCTACCGTTTTTTCTTTTCCCCCCTTCCAATTCTGCACTTTCATGCCAGCTCAGCAGAATGAAGGAAGTTCCTGTATACGGGGCACTGTATAGGGGTAAAGTGAGCTTAAGTCCTCCCCAAAACCAACCGCAGCCGGCTGAATGTAAAGCTTTACGTTCTAGTCCTCACAGACTGCCTCAGCACCCAGACCTCACTGTCACACCTCATAAAGCAGAGCTCAAGCAGTGGGGTTGTGTTTAAAGCCAAGGGGAAAGATAAGGCGAAATAAGGACAAATAAGAAGGAAAATAAGAACGCCCCTATTCAGGAAACTGTATGTAGCGAACAGAGTGAAAAGCCCTTGACAAAAGCTCTTTAGCTGAAACTCTGATGGCATGTCTCCAGTGTGCTGAAAAAGAAAATACACTTTTGGGACAAATTGCAGGAAACATAAGGAAGTGAAAAAGCCATTGAGGGATTTTTAACACCATAATCCTCTCTTCTTATTTCTAGTTTTAGCTTAGCTGTCGAGAGGGAAGCGAGGGCCCGCAAGTTTATTTTCAAATAGTCCACAAAGAATGCCTGTCATTTCCTGGCGTTCCCCACTTCCATATGAAAGCCCCCGTTCCTTAAGGAACAATGGGAAAGATTCCAAAATGTCCATTGGGACTTTTTGGCATGGCGATACAATAGAGAGCATGTTGTGACAGAATTGAGACAGGCTGTTTCTCTCACCTGTGACAAGATCGGAACTAATGCAATGTTTTCGTCTTTCAGCGAGCATACTCCATGATTAAAGCGGCCACACCAAAGCTTCAACATCCCATAAATGAACTGAGAGTGGAGTCTAATGGAGGCCCTGAATCTGTCTTTGACAACTCACTAGAATATCTTTTATTCATCATACCTAGGGAACATTTTAGAGTGAGTTTCTAGATAAAAGCAGCTCCTGGAGCATCAAAATGTTTTGACAAGTTTCTGACTTTATTAAGCATAGTGCTAAAAATACATGATATCAGAGAATAGAGGGAGTAAATGTAACAGGTTCCCCTTATCCCTAATCATGGTTTTCTTATACATCAATGTACATGTGACTTCAATTACAACCACACACAGTCACACCAAAGCTGTAAGAGTGTATCAGTTTGGTCTTTTAGTTGAAAGAGTTCAATAGTCATGTGCTCCTGAACAGGCCAATAAGATCTTAAAGTCACCTGGCTCGACCCGACCTGAGCCTTTGGCTAGACAAGAGGTCAGAGGTCGTCCACTCAACTAGATAGGCAGTATGTCGATATGCCTGAGGCAGGGGCCAGGGGTCTCCACTAACCTAACCTTTCCATTTACCCAACACTGTAGCTGAACTGAAGAAAAGCACAAACACACACATGTGCACACACGGGATCCTGCTGCTATGAACTCATTCGCCCCTTAACCTCATTTACCTGTGATGCATGAACACAAAGCGTATGTGGTAAACAGGAGCGATTAGATCTTCTGCTTTGGATCCATAGATAAGTCTGAGGTGGAAAAAAAAGGACACAGGCATTACTTAAGTCTTCTGAAAAGAAGTTGACATCTGCAGTTGACATCTGTGCTTTTTATGTCTTCCAGATGACTCAGGGATAATGGATTAAAAAGTTTACATATTGCATTAATGACTTAAAAAGAGGGGAAGCCAGTTTGAAAGAGTTTTTCTTCCTCACACTTTTGCCTTTTATGTTCGATCGCAGCCGGGAAGATCTGGGGGTCATGTGATGCTATCAAAATGTCCTTTTCACAGACAAAAAAAACCAATAAGAGTTTTATTTTTTTATTTTACAGTTCTATGAGAAGACAATGATGACGGATGAACGGTGATCTGTGGTTCAGAGCCTCATCCACCGTGATAGCAGGTTACTTCTGACATAATTGCAGGTTGCAGCTGAGGATCACATGTGATAATGAATTACACAAGAATGATGATCATAGTTCCAGCAGGAGATTAGAGAAGCCAACATCTAACCACCTCCCTGCCCGCATAACAGCAGCAGGAAGATGCTTGGCTCCATTCACCCAGCCTGATAACTCCTTGAGAGCAACTCTAAGTGAATGAAGCCAAACAAGAGATAAGCACTTTGCTGCTCCACGATTTAAAAATCAGGAAGATGCTGCTTTTTCTCTTCACAAGGGACAACTTAATTGCATGTAAGTCAGCCTCAAGGAGAATAAAAGGTCAGTTGATCTATTGTAGATTTCTCTATTAAAATAATACATCATTTTCCCACTGTATATGTACAAGAAATGTAAGTGCAAACAGTTAAAAGTCAGCATTTGGTAAGTGCTTGTTTTTCAAAAAAAAGCCATGCATTTTTCATTAAGAGCACGCTGTGTACAATCCATAGCCAGTTAAATGCAGTGCTGCACTAAGCGTCTAGAATCTACTTCTTCCAAATGGCAGAAAGAATTTATGGAGACTGCCTCATTAACCTTAAGGCATATTAGTGCTTGGCACTGCATGCTGAGAGCTAAGCAAGACAGATTGTCTCAGCTGCTTTAGAATAATCAGAAGGGTCAGAGCACAGTAGCACAGTGGACCCAAAACTGAGTATAAAACGCTCGTGATGAAGTGTGTTTATTTGGTCAGTGCATCCTCTCAGTGTGCCCACCCTGAAAATGGCAGTCTGGCTGTTTTGCCATGTGCTGGAGGCCCAAATCCGGGAGGAAGTCAGATGCGCGCGGACTGTTTCCGAGAATGTGGGATGTGCACAGCCACGATTACAGTCTGAACAATTTAAATGACTGTCTGCATTTTTTTAAAAAAATGCAAACATTTGAAAAAACGCGCATGCATTATGTTGAAAATCACTAAACACTATATATTTTAATTGCATCTTTTGCATTTCTTTCTATTTTGCCTATTCATTACCGGGCTGAGTTACGCACCCGTCCACAGAGGGATACCATCATGAGTCACGGCTTGGCGAGAGACGGGTGGCGGCTGAGAATGATCGCTGTCTGCTTTCTGCTCTTCAGGTGTCTCACGCAGATTATTTGGGGCAGGAGGGCTGCTGTAATGTCGATACAATGACAGATGGTCCACACAAAGCCGGTGCGCATTGTTCAGCTGGAAATATAATAGCCCCGATTTATCAGTGTTCGCCGACTTTCAGGCACCATACACTGTGTGGTGAGTGAAATGAATCAAAGTTGTATTGTTTGGGAGGCTCCCAGTAGGATTCCTTTGGACTGCACCGGCTGTTTAAACATAATCTTAAAACTTTCCAAGCAGCGGAAGCAGCATTTATCTGTACACTGTGTAGTAGTCTACCATCGACGCGTCTCGCAAAGCGTTATAAAAGTTGTAAAGTGCAGAAAAAATTGAAATCTCGTTTTTTCCCTCTAGTCACACGGAGGCTCTTATGAAATGAACGGGAGACACGCTTTTCTATTCGCTGCTAGTTTCACATGCGCTCGTGTTGGAGACGTAAAGCCCCCTCATTAGAACTGAGCGCCAACCCAGACCCCGGCACACATTATCACAGTTACACAATCATCCCATGTGCATATTCAGCAGAATATCCACACTTTCTTTAGATTCATTGATTAATTATAGACGCTTAATTTCTAAATTCGAAATACAGAATCGGTTTGTATAGTTTTAACTGGATTAAACAGACAATGCTTACTGTTTTTAGGTTATCCTACATTTTACATGATGGCATACTTACGCAATTTCCCTTCCCCGGCTGCAGGTAAAACTGCAGGATTCAGAGTCCAGTCGAGGTGGACTGATGCGTTTTCTTCAAGTCTGCCACAGTGGGTATTTTCACTCTCATCACTTCCGTCCGAGTCCAACTCTCCACCGATTGAGCGCCTGCCTCTCGGGTCCACGCATTACGTCTGTTTGAGAGGCAGGAGGGAGGGCATCCGGTTTACAGGGATCACCAGGAGGACCGGGATTGGCTCAGAGGAGATAGCTTGATAAAATGCGTGCCTGCCATTGGACCGCAGGGCAGGAGGGGAAGGGGCAGTCGTGTATTATTCAGGAGAAACCGGGTGGGGAGTGAAAGAGGAGGATACTCAAAGCGGAATATGCAGACAATGCCTTGTGTCTCAGAATTTCACATTTCATTGGTGGATTTATTCACCACAGTTTATGGTATCCAATAATGATCATCAAATGGACTAACAGGCTAATTGGGGCATTTATGATAACCCAATGTTTGTACTAGCTGTTAGTATATGTATGACCTCAGAGTTCTGAACATAGGCACTAGGATCACTGTAATAACCACAAATATACTTAATATAGGAAAATTATGGAATATTAATAAAATAATATTTGTGAAAGATCAAAAGTGGATTTCTCTTTTAAGTTTTTCTTTCTAAGTCTGTTCTATTTTTAAATAAAATTAAACATGCTGGACTCAGACGATGGAAGTGAAAATGTATAAATTAATCAAACAACCCTTTTTTGCATCAAATATCAAACCTAAAGAAATCGCATGTGTGTTTGTGTCTGCACATGGGACATTTTGTGTGTGTCCATGCATGTGAGGGTGTCTGTGTGAGAGTGTGTTTGTGTGTGTTTCTGCTGTATGTAGGCTACGAGACAGCTGGAACTGCAGAATTTTGCACACAGGAATAGGGGAGGGAATGGTGCATGGATAATTCTCTCTTCAGATCCTCTGGTACTCGCTCCGAGAGTACTCAGCTGAATCAATACTGCTCAAAGCTTTCTCATGTTCCCTCTCACATCAGTGCTACTGTTGGGAGTCCGGGGCAGACCATTTTAGGTGTTTTCTAGATGATTATTTAAATCATAAAAGCCACCACTTCTTCTTGGATAATTGCAATGCTAAATCACCCTTGACCTACAGGCCTCCCGCATCACACACAATCACATCCAAAACTGTGAGTTGTTAACCTGCATACTGAGCCGGTGTGTGAGCAGACAGAGAAATCCTAATAGCCACAGCAGGGGCTCTTCTCTCTCCGGTAGTCATGGTGATTGAACACATTTCTCCACACATCAAGAGAGGCGGCCTGTCTGTGCTGCACCACACAGGCCTTTATTAGGCCCAGACCCTTGGACTGGAAGGAAGGAAGCACCAAGTGGAGGATCACACCCATTTCATTGTGACTCTACAATTTTATGACAGTCAGGAGGCCGTCCACCACAAATTAGTTCTTTTTCGGGAAGACTCTCTGCTCTTGTCTCGGTTAAACCGATAAAATGGCATGCTCAAATCTCAACAAAGCGGCACATCATCTGATTATTGTGCGGATTTGAAGGCTAATTTGCATAACTGGTGGGAATGATGCTCTCAGAAGTATAGCACCTAGATTTATTCAGTATTCAGTCTAATTTCTAACATCCATACGAGAGCAACAGCCTTGGCTTGATTTCCTTTAAGCTTCTAATCTCTTTTCCCTCTTAATTTAGCTGCAGCTTCAATCACAGCTCTTTCACAAATCTAACCGCGTGGGAGTTTATGTGTGTGACTGCTATCATGTGAAAACCTTATAATTCCATAGTCGGTGAAAGTCATATATTCATTTTAATTCAAGGGTCATGCGGTTGTCAATGGGTTTTAAGATTTTGGCACCACTTACTGATAAGGCAACCCTAGCAACAATTCCATTAATTTGTTACTTTTAATTCAGTTATAAGCCGTTAATAAGGACGTACTTGGCTGGAGTTTATTTTTCAATGGACCCGCCTCTGAAACACTTCATAGGATCCATTTCACTGTGTGTGCTGTGTGCTCTGCGTGTGCGACCATTAAATTGGGTTTCATCCCTCTATAATTATTTACCACAAATGAACATTGATAACCTGATACTTCAAGCCTCACTAGAAAGTGGAAGAAGTCACCACCCACTACCTTTTAAATGCTAAACAACACATAATGTTTAAATTAAAGAAGCCACAAGCATTTGTGCATGCTTTCATATTCTCTATAAACAGATTCTGCATATGAAAATTGCACAGGCGATGGTTGTATGCAGGGAAATAGTTTGTGTGAGGAGAAAAAGAGGCAGAACACATAGGCCGACTGTTATCAATGAGCATCGCACAGATAAAGGAAGTCTTGGCCTAGATATCCGCTGGCTCCACCACAACCTGAAAAACATTGCCCCTTGCACCCAGAGGCTTATTGTCATTTTAGGATGAGTTCCAGGATTAATGGATTACTAACATTTGTGATGCATGTATTACCTAAAAAACAAAAACAAAACATTGCATTCATTGTATTCCATCCTAGCTTAACTCAAAACACTACACCATAGCTTATTGTGGCCAATATTGTCTACTATAATGTTAGCAAACTAGATCTTGTTGTGTTTGATAATGTTGAGTCAGATCGCTTGTCTATGACTCCTTTCGCAAGTGTTTACCCAACGTTTAAGCATGTTGCCAATAAACATTTAAATATGTGTTTTCATCTATTTGAAAGCTCTTTACGTTTACATTCATATGTGTGTGATCCAGACTCTAGTCAGCCCTGGACTTAACACAAATGGAAAGTGTCCGATGTGCTACTGTTGATTACCATGACAACGTATTAAGCTGAGGCTTAAAACCATGGCTGTCCCATACTGTGCCTAGTAAGAGTGACATCTCCAACTGCTCCAGTAATGAGCTGTCTAACATGCTGTCATCCTCCACAGATGGAGCATATACTGTACAGTAGGACACATTTCAGATAATTAGTCAGGCAGACATTTGAAAGGAATATTTTCACATTTTAGGAAATATGTGTATTACCTTTATTTATTTTTTAGAGTTAGACAAGGAGATTGAGAATATTGTCGAATAGGTGAGTGGTAACACTTTTCTCATCTGAAGGCCTTTGCCTTTGCACAGTCTTCAAAGAGTTCAGAACAGTCATTGTATAGTGTTTAATCCATCCTCTGGGTCTGAAAGACTGAGGCTAATGTAGAAATGCTTAAATCTGAAATCTCTGATATGTCCAGTATTGAGCTACTCCACCAGTTGCTAGAAGAAGTCTGATTGTATAGAAGTCTATGAGAAAAAAGGATCCTACTTATTACATGATTTGGTACTTCACTACACATTCTCCCAATTAGTTTATGGTCTTATTAGCTTGTTTCAAGTGTGCTCAAATTCAATGATGTTCATTTTGTAAATGATGGTCCCATTTAGGGTAAACAGACTTTAAAGCGACATTATGCTCTATGGCGGGTTAATCTTTTTAATGACAATTGACAAGTCAATGCTGTATTGTGCACTCACGTAATACATTTAATTTATCACAACAAATAGAAGAAGAAAATCTATCGGACTCTGTGTTCAAGGTTTCAGTGCATAATGAGTTTTTCGTATATGGAAAAATCTTAAGTCTCAGCAAAAAAGTAAATGAATGTATTTTCCAAAATGTCAAACTATTCCTTTAATATTTAGCAGTCAAACCTTTATCTGCAAGCTAGAGTTACGTGCACATAGCCACCATTAAAGGCCCAGTGCTTTGGAAATCCAGATATCAATTGTTTTTCTGAAACAGAACACTGGGGTGTATTATCAATACCAATCACAAACAAATCGTTTTTTGTTAGTTTTTCTTTGTCCTCAAACGTAAGTAGCTATAAAATCAGGGTAATCATTAGACACACACAGGTTTTGTTTACTTGATGGGTCAGAGCATCTTCATATAGCTGTTATCTGGTAACTGTTCTCATGCAGCTAATTGCCACCACAGTGTAAGCACCTTATCTCACATCATCAACAGTATGGCACAATCCCCGGCAACCCCGGACCACCTCCACTAACCCGCGTACAACTTTGCCATCATGGATGCCTCCTGTCGGGTTTCATTCTTGCTCGATGCCAGGAACAAATTCTGCGTCTCAATTAATCACTGAGTTTCTAATGGAATGCTTCCCTTCAGGATGAGGCCCATCACAGAGGGGGCTGCCGTCAGTGCTGTCTGTGAAGCTGCTCTGATTGCCTTAATACACTCCCAGCTTTGGAGTCACTGCAGATGTCTGCTAATTGTGGTGATTATGGTGAATGGAGGGGGGTAGGAATATGTAATGAATTTCCCATTGCTTTCAAGCCTCACATCCTTTGGTTATGTGCATCTGCTACACAAGCGGAGCATCCGCAGGGTTTGGAGACGGACAAAAGTGAAATGGGGGATTGGGCATGGGCTTTTGGACGGGCAGCTATTCTAGCGGAAAGTGCAGCCAGATTGGGACCATTTATTCTTTTACTTCTGTTCATTGCTGCTACAATGCTGGTTTTAATTCCTCTGCACTTCTGCTCTATGCTCTTGTTCTGTCACCTCTTTTCTCCTCTTCTATACAAATCTATGAGTGGGTGGACGACTCTAACAACCTTAAGCACCGTTCCCAAGGGCCAAAATGAGATCCAGTTTACACTTAACAAGTCAAATTGAGCCTATTTAGTCTAAATAGCCCAGAATAGCAGATGTGTATAGGGATGCTGAAAGCCATTGAATTACAGGGGGAAACGCTAGCCTAACTCTGTCCTGAGGTAACAAAAACTGTCTAAGGATAGAGGGTGTCGTTTTTCTCATACTGATATTCTGAACAATCTGTGCTGTTGTATTTGCTGTAAAGTGTCTCTACTGTAGGCTATTTTTATTATATGTACAGCACTTTGGCTCGACCAAAAATCGTTTATAAATGTGCTATATAAATAAAACTTGATTTGATTTGATTTGAAAAACGTTTTTCCCATTGCCTTAAAACATCTTTTTTTTTGTTCAATCTTCTCTAAAACATCGGATTAAATATAACAATCTGTGTGTTTTTTGGGGGGTTTAGAATGTTCTGCTTTTGGTTACCTCCGGTTACAGTCTTTATGATAAACAGCTGACCAGCTGCTGGCTATAGCATTACATTTAATACAGAGAGTACATTTTCTTATCTTACTCTCAGCAAGAGATCAAATAAACATGTATCCAAAAATGTGAAATAACTACCTTAAGGATTTCAATTTAGATTATGAGTATGGAATATTAAATAAATACTGCACATAATGCCTTTAATCATTTTAAGCAGATTGTGAATTGGAGCGATGGATCCGAAAAGATGTTGAGCACCTTCCAGGAGCCACTAAACATGTATCCCATTTGTATCCAATATAAAGCACTGCTACTCCCGACTCCAGAGGCAGAAATAAACAAAATATTAAATCTGTTACACATTCCTCGTGTCAGAAACACTGTTTCATTTTTTTTTTAACTGGATAAATAAAACTGGTGGTTGTGCATATTTAAAAGTCAAATGTAAATTGCTTGTGCAGCTTAACAACCTATTAAACTGAGAGGATTATACACGCAACCTGAATTTCTGCACATTTTTCTCTTCATGATTATCATGCCACTCTTGGACATGCTACTCTGGACGTTGAACCGTAACAAATCATATTCATACATTTAGCATATTAATGAAGTTAAATATCAGACTCTTTCCTCTGTGCAAATGCAAACATGCCTGATTTATTGTGTATGTGCTTTTGCAAGGCAAGAGTTAGCTAATTCCTTTGGGGCGAGTGCCCTTCCTGTCACACTGATCAAAGACTTTCTCTTGATATGAGCATAAACTGCTCCATGCCCCATCACCATCAATGTCTGTGCATGCGTGTAAGCTTGTGCGTGTGTGTTTGTGCAAGTGTATGTCTATGTGTGTGTGAGGTTGTGTGCATATCCATCCCCCATCACCAGAGGCTGTATTATGCATTGTTGTTGGCATGGCCTACATGCTCATCCAAGCATGGTCCAGTGTGGTACAGTACACACGTCTTCCCATCCCCACCGTACTCCCCTGTCCTGTCCGCAGGCCCGCTTCATTTACCTTTGCTCCTGAATTAATGCTAGTTAACTGTCACATTAACTCAGATCTGTTGGCCCCGCTTTGTCAACAACATTATACTAGCCTCAGCGTGTGATAGCCAGGGTTATTTTTGCTTTGCTACACAGCACACGCATGAGCTGAGTTCGCCTCAATGTATGTAGTCTACCTAAAGCTGCAACCATCCATAACATTATCGGAATAAAAAGCACAGTTGTGTAACATTTTAAAGCTACATGCTGCTTTGTATTTTCAGCAGAGAATGCAAGAAATGACCACAGTCATAAGAATACGAATAGAAATATGAATACTTAAGAATATGTAGTGGTTAGTGTGCGACAAAAAAAGGACCTTTGCAAAGTTTGTTGGTCAGTCGTGGCTTCAGTGCAGGTGTTTCATTCAGTGTTTCAATAGAGGCCAAACGCTGGGCGTGGACGCTCGATGAGTGCATGGCCTTGTATCTGTGTATGTCTTCACATGTACATGTGTGTGGAGCATATATTTGCCTTCCAGAAGCGAGTGTGTTAAATTCTCTTAGCATGTGTGACGAATCAAGTGGCTGGGAAAGAGCAGCGCATTTCATGGCCTCTTTCGGCCTCTCACAAACTGAATTCTAAAGAGGCTATCGATCTGTCAAGGTCTCAATCCGAATGCCCCAATATCTAACTATCTTATCTCTATGGCTTTTCATGTCCTTTTTTGCATCTGCCACTGTGTCTGTCTTTCTTCTTTTTTCCTTGCTCTTTCTTTGAATAGATATCATGCAGAATGTAGCAGAGAGATGCAGCAAGAGTGTGAGACAGATAAAAAAGAGAGAGCATCCCCCACTCATACGTCTTTCATCCTAATCCGTAGTCTCTGTCCAAGAAAGGGCCTCCTTTTCACTTGTCTGCCCGCAAGCCTCTTATATGTGACCCCTCTGTGTCTCCCGCAGGCCTCTCTCCCACGGCCAGGAACAACACACACATAGACACACACATCTGTGCATTTTTGTTTAAAAGTAATAAACCAAGTAAAGTTGCATGTGTTTGGTTTATATTGAAACGACGCAATGTTACCACAAAAAAACAAGCAGTGGTCAGAATGCATTTGCTCCAAACACCATTACCCAAGCTGTCCAAAGTCACCATTTGCCAAACTGACAGAGCCTCTTATGTTTTGCCCGAAGGTGAAGACAAATTTACCGCCAGGCTGACTAACACAGCTGCTGGGAGAGCGTGTTTCTCGTTAAAGGAACTGACCTCAATAAAGATGGACGTTTGGCAGTGCGTTATGTAACTGACTGAGGATGATCCTGAGGCTGTGTGAATGTGTGTGTTGTTTTTTTGCGCGCCAATGCTTTCATGTTAGGGCCAGATTATGTGTGCATCTGCTCGCATGTGTGTGTAAGGGAAGTATAACGAGGCATAATATGGTGTGCAAATGCTTATAACGAATGTATGAGCATATCATGGCTGGTTAGGGATGTACTGTAGAAGAGTTTCTGGGGTTGAGAAATACATATTTTCCTTGCACCCTTTGCTTAATTTAAAAAAGCTGCAACTACCTTCTCAACAATTCTTTATAAATAATACAGTATACATTAAGCACAAATGAAATATCTAACAAAGCCAATGTAAAGATTAGAATTAAATAAAAAATGACCAAGAACATGGGAAAAGTCCCAGCCATACTCTTAGTGGAAGTTATAGGATCATATGGGCCTGCAAGATACTTAACATTTTAAATAAAAGGAAAAAATGCAAATTAAATCAAAACATGTTGCAACTCATGTTCACGGTAGGTCGTAAGTCTGATTGATTATAGTATAGGGATGGTTTTCTGCTACATGTCTTATCCAAGTGAAATAGATTTGTTACGCCCTGTGGCCAACAAATCCTTTATCAAATATTATCTTCACGGCCTTAGATGTTCTCTTTTGTCTCTTTCTGATGCCACAGGCATCTGCAAAAACTGGTGCCACATACAAACATGTTTTAATTTGGTAACACAGTTGTAAACAACACTGACTGACCTTATTGCGCACAACCTTAACTTAAACGTGAGGATAGACAGAACCAAATTCTACATAAACAATTTGCTGTAGAGCACTCACAACAACAGGAGGGGGGACAAAACCCTTTGCTTAAATATTTATCCACAATCCATCATGTTAAAGTAAGAGCTTGTTGCATTTTTGATAGCCTGAGAACAAGTGCGAGTGTAAGACTGTGACCTGATCCTGTGACCCGTGGCAGAGCAACGACCACCACAATGTGCAACATGCAAAATCAGTGATATATTAAGTTAATACCTGCTGACCAATAAATCAACATTTATATAATAGATGTGTTTATACTTTTCTTCTTTGGATTCTGCAGCCGTAGCACAGCCCACCAACGAGGCGCACGCACTGTTTTCCCTTGCAGCAAAAGGAAACATGAGTCAGGACAGGGTTAGTGAATGTCACAGAGCAGTGACAAAATATGTGGTGACACTCCTCATCCTCTCAGCACGGTACAATCTCCGAAGTTAGGGTATCCTTCTGAGAGAAAAAAAAACATCCTTCATAACCATGCTTCAGAACATCTTAAAACAAATTCATAAAAAAATTCAAAAGGATGTACATTTGAAATGCAGATTTGGAAAATGATTTAGATTCTTAAAATGCCTTCAAACACCAGTCCTGGTCACAAATGCAGTCCCAAATCACAGTAACTCTAACCCTTGATATAAAAAATGGAACCCCCTGCTCTCCCAGAAAAAAAAAGCCAAACTACTGTCCTCATAGCAAGAACCTTTTCTGACCCCATATCATTTTAACACAGTCCCTTATAGCTATACTGTTAGCTATAGGGTTGAAAGAAACAACAAAGCTGTGGTCTTGGTGGCATGTGCAATATAGCTCAACTGGAAGTTGCTTTATTCTGGAAAGATGCATACATACATATATACTAGTGCCACAATAAACATAGAAACCACACTTCCTATGGAGTTACAGTAATCCCTCAGAAGTGGTCATACAGTAAACATATCACGCTGTACTCACCCCTAACAGAGAGGCTCTCTGTCTGCACTGTAGTGATAGATTTGATGCTGGCTTGCACTCTGCCTGGTGTGACCCCACCCCTGGTAAATACAGGGTTGGAGGTTTCCTCTGTGGATAAAAATACACTTGCCTCTTAGTAGAGGGGGAAGAAAAGTCAGACTTTTCTCTCCTGCGGCAATTGTGCACAAGTAACTAAAAGACTTCTACACACAAGTACCTTTTTTGTTGTAGATTTGCAGAGTTGTGACAAATCAGGGAATTAAAAAAGTTGACTGAGTGTCACAAATTACATTTTGTAGAGGTGAGCATAAATGCTAGTGATTGTCTGTCATAGCATTTTTAAAGGTTGGTTCAACTTTGTCTTGTGCTTTTTTCTGTTATGTTTTGACTTCTTCCTGCTTTTGTCTTTTGTCCTCCATGAGCGCCCTTACTTACAAGCTGTGACGTCATCATTATGGAAACGTGTTTCATGCTTGCAGAGGCCTGCAACTGACACAGGTACGGTCTCTGACCACCTTTTTACAGAAAGTTTGTCAAGACTCACCAACAGCGTCTATCTCAAATGTGCACTAAGGGCTTCCTGTTTGGAGAAAATAGTTTTCTACTGGTTGAACTGAACAGGAAAAGAGATTCTGAGTTACTTCCTTGTTTGAACTGGAAACACAAACTCTATTCAAACTCCATTGACTCCAGACCGGTGAGTAATGCATCAAGTATATGATTGATAAGAGTCATTTTGATCCTGGTGGTTCTGTTAAATGTCACTTGCGGTGCTTATAAAAACAAATAAATTACTTTTCTCTTGACATTTAGTCAGAACAACATCCCAACATGTGATCATAATTGCATACATTCTGAAGTTTGTTGATTTGATCTCTTTACAGAAACAAGAACGTCAATGAAATCTCCTCAGAAACTCAAGTTTTTGAAGAAAATAATACGAATATATTGAAAAATAATATGAGATCCTGTCAGCTTCTGTCATAGAATGAAGATATTGCAGCACGTCATACCTGAAAATGAGTCACGTGGGACAAGAAAGTCAGGGGACAGGACTGAGAGATGTCTTCGACATAGTGATCAAAGCACCGCCGAATCGACTGCTAAGTCTGACATTCCAGCTAGGTGAGTCTCCGCAAGATCATATCATACACGCCCTATGTCTGATCATTCTCCAGAAAGAGGAGCGGGCCCCTGAACAAACTACAGATGCTGAAAAACAACTTCCTTGCTCAACTTCTGGCTGAAAAGTGGCAGATGAGTGCAGGCAAATTAGAAGATTTTGCCACTCGTTGTGGTCATTCGCAAGAGTTTACAGGAGAATCTTTGGCACTGTTGGCTCGTATTTTCAAGGTTTTATCAGAACAGAGGCTTTGTGATACAAGTCTGAGAAATCTGGCGTATAAGAGAGCCCTTTCAAGTGACAATCAGGAAACAAGCAACTGTGAGTACCTGGAGTACGACAAGTTTAGGGAGGAAGCTAAAGTTGTCTGTGGGCCTCAGTATGCAGAGTGGTTGAGCTCTTCGAAGAAACCGATGTCTGACCAGGATCCCCATGGCCCCCCGGATAAAGAAAGTACAACTTTAAAAGTAGACCTGTCTCAAGATCAGTCCGAGAGAGCTTACAGTCTGCCTAGTCCACTGCAGGCGACCTCTTCAATGCCCTCATATCCCACTCATCTGGAGATAAGTTTACCCCCAACAGCCTCATACAACAGAGTAACCCCAGAAACATCAGGTGCTTCCGAAATAAACACCCCTGCCCTCGTTGTTGGTGAATCTCAAACCTCTCAGCCTGAATCCAGTGAACCTCCGATGTTTGGTGCGAAGAAACCCTTAAAGACGGAGGGAGCCGCAGAGGGCGGTGAGTTGGACAGTCTTATCACTCGCAAAGAGACTCTTCACCAAACCTCCAAACCAACCACTGAACCAACCTTTGCATTACCCACCACAACCAGCCATTCTCTACCCAAGATGCCTGCTCCAAAGGAAGTGCATGAAAGTGAAGGGGCAGAGGTAGAGGAAGAGCCAATTTTTTACGCTTTTGTTATCTTCCACGCAGCTGAAGATGCAGATGTGGCTGAAAGCATGAAGGAAAGGCTGGAAGAGGTCATTCATATTGAGGGTGCAACTTTTTCTGAGGACTTTGCTGTTCCGGGGAAGAGCACTCTGAGGAGTGTGGAAGATGCTATCAACAACTCGGCCTACACTGTTCTGCTGCTTACCCGCAACTTTGACCGCATGCAAATGATGGAGGCAGACTCTGCTCTTGTTAACTCCATATATAAGACACACAAAGATGGCACAGTTATTCCTCTCCTGCCAAGGGAGAACAGCCTGCCTAAAGATAGCTTCCCTATGGTTTTGAAGACAATAAATACACTCGACGAGAATAGGAACTTTGAAAGGAAAGTACGAAGGGTATTTTCTCCAACGCAAATTAAAAAACAGAGGGCAATCTGGAATACAGAGCAGAAAGTGAAAATGCAGATGCAGAGACAGGAGACTCTGAAGAACTTAAATAGGTACCAAAAGCAATTAATTCGTGAGTGTACAAAAGCAGAGCTGCTGCAGAAAGATAACCTGAGGCTTTTATTGGAACAGGAACTTCACCTCGGCCCCAGAGGGCCACCAGAACAGCCACAAATCCACATTAATAACGCTAAGTACATAATGATTGGTAATGACTCTCGAATGAACGTTGGTTCGGATGGACATGCAGACACAGATGATTCAATTAACAGAGATGAAGACTGCTCCTAATATTAAGATGTGTTAATGTCAGGGTCTAAATGTCACTGTGTGCCGTGCTGTGTACATGTGAGACAGGTCAAAGTCTCCACTCAATTTGAATCCTGGTTTTCTAATAATCTTTGGAGGAAATAGACGTTTTCTGGGGTCAATATATTTTGAAAAACTGAGAAAAGAAAATCATTTTTTTGTCTGAACACTAACATATCAGAGCATATTCAGTGACATCTTAATGATTTCAGGAGAGCTGTAAAGAGAGTCTCATGAACAAAGCATCAGAGGAATATTTAGCAGAGGACTGCCATCTACTGACCGAAATGTGATGTACAATTCCTGATCCCAGCAGCTGTATATGATCCTACTGAAGACACCAGGGAGCAGCGTTGTCCTGCGCTCTCTGTTGCCCTTCACAAGATCTCTGAAGTGTCAACCAAATGCATCACTGTTCTGATATCTGAAAGCTAAAACAGATTCAATAAAATCTTAATTTTAATATTTTCCAACATGTGTTTTTTTTATGTGTATACGCATATTTTAATCATTGTGTAAGGTACAGTTTTATATTATATTAACTGTAAAACTAAAACGTTTTTGGTGATCCGATCAAGTTGTAAGAACTTTAAACGATAATTATGATCATTTCTATGCTTTAACCTCGAAGTTTATTTAGATTTTTTTTAATTCTTACGAATAAATGTACTAGTTAAGAAATATTTTTCCATTTCATGAGTTTAATTTAAAAAAAAAAAAGTTTTTAAAGACACACACTTTTTTCCAACGATAGGGGTATCCTATTTGTTTGCTTATGTCAGCAGGCTTGCTATTGTTATTCAGTTTGAACACATATCTAAGTGCAGGACTTTTCAGCTTGCGCATATTGCCCTTACACAAGATTGACTCTGAGTGGGGTTGATTATTTTTTCTCCTGCCCATATCTGTGCATTGCACTGACATATTTAAAAAAAATAAGAAACTGATCTTGCCTGTTTCATTTTTGTAACCCCTCTAAATCTAAATATTGTAACTTTGCACTGTAATGAAGCAAAAACAAGACCACGAAACGTTGACAGTTTGCAGAGACACATGAGGTGGAATATGAACTTAAAACTCCCACTGAAGTGTCTAAATTCTTACCGAATACAAATTATGTGTCTACCAGATATATTTGTTTTCAAAATCACCATTTGTTCCCATTTCTTGACATCTTCAGGATCTTAACATCATCTGTGTATACCAATCAGCAATATTACAATTATAAGTCCCTAGCTTTGGTTCACATTTAGTTGCAGAAAATCAAAAATATCATGATAAAAGATCAATAACCAAATAAATAGGTCAAATTCGTTGTTTATGACATTTCAAACAACAGAAAACAAAAATAGTGGACTGATATGCAAATTGTGTAGTGCGCCTTGTAGTATTAACCATACATTTAAAAGTGTATAAATAAGTATTTCAGATGTAATATAAAATAAAGAACACACAGCATCCTAAATGTAAATTATGTGTCTGCAAATCAGCCAATCGTTTTTAACTGGAGGGTAACATTTTGTAAATACTTAAAAAGGTTGTTCCTTTCTTTTTTTAAACAATATCTGGGAATTAGCATAGCAGGAATTAGTCATACAACTCCATGCTGGATGCTGCTCCAGTCCACTCGGTTTGTGTTACAAGTGGTGACTTCTGACTGTCAGGACGGAGTAGACTGGGTGGGTGGATCGCGCATGCGCAGTGAGCTCTATCCTCCTATCAGTGCCGCAGGAAAAGCGCAGAGAAGACGCCGCGGAAAAAGATAGGAAGGAGGGAGAGGGGGAAACAGTTAGAAAAGAGAATAAATAACAACATGGAGACAAACAGCGTGGTTAGTTCCTGTGTGAAACTGTCCGCTGGTGTTGGGCTGTAGATCTCCTCCTTTGACGCACAGCTGCTCCGTTATGTCGGACAATCTGAGGAGAAAAACGTCAGGGAATGGGGGAAATCTTCAGAAATCCTGTTGCTAAACTGCGCCGTGCTGTCTAAATATCTTCTAAACTGGGGATGGTGCTGCTGTAAACGAGGAGCGCCCCAAAACTCGTCGTGATCTCCAACCCAGGCCACGCTCAAAGTTTTTTTTTCTTCCATTTTTGTCAGCTGAAGGGGAAATTTTGCTGCATTGAATTCCTCTGGACGGGATGTCATCCGCAGTCAGGACGAATTCCTCTGGCTGACTGATCCTACAGTGTAGCAGGGCTCCAGAGAGAGAGAGAAGATGGGAGATGCGACAGATGACAGAGGGATGAGGAGGACCTTCATCGTCCCTGCCATCAAGAGCTTCGATCACTACGACTTCACCAGGGCCAAGATCTCCTGCAGCCTGACGTGGCTGGTGGCCAAGGCGTTCGGCTCGGGTAGGTGGTGCCTCTTTAATCGTTGTCATCTCGGGATTAAATGAGTGGAAAACATTGTGGAGATAATCATCTAGCATGTGTTATAATGTGGACTGATGTCGTGTCGGACCAGGGGGAATATTTAGTAAACAGCAGCTTGTAATCAGACACTCACTGTCAGACAAACCCAATTACACTTCTTGATGTTTCCTCCTTGTTATTATAAATAGAAACACTTGCCATATCTGTATATCCTGTGAAATAGCAGCAATTGAAGAAAATGGTCACTAAAAAAAGAATAATAATACATTTTATTTGGAGGAGCCTTTCATAACACCCAAGGACAATTCATAACATATTTAAAAACAAGGTGTCCTCTTTATCCTTGTAGTGACATACTTCAAACTTAAGTAAAAGTATTTTAGGCCTTTTATGTGCATTTCTGCATTTTTCTTTCCATGTATCTACCTGGGGGTGAGAGGTCTCATATCACTGCTCATGTCACAGTGACATTGATCTAACCTGTTGCTTGAATTATGCTAATGATCCCCAACATAAGTGAGAGTAAAGCTATTATATAACACTCTTAAAAGAGATGTACTGTTTGATGATCTGTGTCGTAGCTTCACTCAAAGATGTCTTACAATTTAATTCATTTTAAGGAAAGCAAGTTTGCAAACAAAAGGCACATAAACATCCATTCACTACTACAAAATGCAGCCGAAAAAAAACATTACCTTATGACATATGAAATAAATGGTGAATGGTGTTCAGAAATACAAATACACATTATGTCAACTGGTGTAAATGCTTTGTCATTCTACAGACAGATTAAACAGACTGGCTCTGGGTGTATATCTAATGACTTCAGGAATAAAAACAAACTTGTTTTTTTTACTTGCAGCTAAATCGTAATCAAGATGTTGATGAATGCTTTTTTAGAACCCTCAGTGATGCATTAGATATGTTTATTTTTACTAACCAACAGTCCAAAACTCAGAGATTTGGTTTACTATCACATTCGACGAAAAGCAACAAGAGAATCAGGAGATGGGAATAATCATATTTTCTACAAACTTTTCTAAAGTGGTTTATCTTGTGCATTTTGCCACATCAGAATATAGTCAATAATCTTCATCACATGTTCCTAATGTTGTATCTCAAATGTTGTGGCTGGCTAAACATTTAAAACTCAAATCTTCACTATTGAGAAGCTCAAATAAGGACATGTTCTGTATTTTGGCTTGGAAAATTAATTGATTATCATCTTAATGGATTTTTTAAAAGGTTGCCAAACAGTTAAGTGTGGGTGAACCAATTGAGTAATTGTTTCATCTCTACTAAAGTCCCTTGTATGCACAGTATAATAGCCAGTTATATGGATATGTGTGTTAGTAACTATTCTTCATATATGTATCCGATCTCTGGCCTGTCTCTGTCCTCAATGTACTTTAGCGGTCTGTCCTCATAAAGACTCCAGCCTGCTCTCAGCCCAGAGGTTTATTCCTGCTAATGAATGCTTTAAACAGCTGCTCCTCCATGTACAGCCCTGTGAGTCTCTAAGTGGCCACCACACAGACAGACAAACCTAGAAACCACACAGACAAACCTAGAAAGAGAGAGATCAAAAGACAGACCGCTGAATCACACCCATTGATCCAACAGTGAGCGCCAAATAGAGCTGCACAAGACTCACAGAGAGCATGACATGTTGGAGGGACACACAAGGTAGAGGACAGCAACATGATGTAGTTCAACAAGACCTGCAAACTGCTGCCGCCTTTTATTCTCATCCCAGTAGTGACACAGTTTCAGCTCCCAGAACTGTGGCCCAATTCATAACCAGTCCTCACGGCCTTGTTTGGCCTAGTTTGGACAGATGAGCGATGATTTGAATTTGGTGGCGCTCGGATGTAACAACTTTCTCATCAGCTGCAAGTTTGTACTGAAACTTCTGAGAGATGGATTGGATTAGCCCAGTTGTGCTGACCACAGATGCACAGTGTGCAGTAGGAAATACTAATATGGAACCTTATATATCAAAATGGTTTACAGTAGAAGGGCAGAGAAGACACTATATAAACAAGCAACACAGTTAAATGTACAACCCCAGAGTAAAAGGTTTGGAATCAAAAGAAGGACAAAGAAAACAGATGGCTTTTAAGATGCTTTGTAAAGATGTAGTCTGATAGTGGTGAGTGCTGGGTGTGTAATGAATGTCAAAGCTTTACTGACTCCACATTTTTGTCTTGATGTGTCTTATGCTGGCATCAGAATCAAAGGGCTTCTCAGATTTTAACAACGGTGCTTAATGGCTGGCCTCATGTAATCAAGTCATGTTAAAGTTCACACCAAACATGTTTTAAAACTACTCTGCTTTAAAAGGGATAGTGGAAATGGAACCTCAAATAGTTTCGTTTTAACTTATATACAAGCATAATTACGTACCAAAACAATTACACCTGATTAAAAAAATATAATAATTGCCTTACGCATGTTAGAAGCACTTTATTGCAGCTTCCCCGAAGTTTTTTAGAAACGAAATGTTCGACTCAGCCAAACCGGAAGTGACGAAAACTTAGGAAGACGATACGATAACAAACCATGGCGTCTATGCAGAATGAACGTGGAAGGGCAAATATACCAGACAAAGAAGAAGGATTGTACGAGGTATCCAGTGATGATAGCGAGTCAGAAACATCCTCTCGGCTTTCCTACGAAAATGTCGTTTTAGGAACTGAATCTGAATCCGGTTCAGTAAGCGACGATGGTGACAATATTGAGCCAGACGATGGACCATTACGTCCTTATTTGTTCGAGCCCGAGCCCGAGGTGATGGTTCACGGCATGGGCAATTGCGAGGATGACCAGGACCAGGCGCCAGATGATGCACCCCTACGCACAAATAATCTTGACCGGTAGGTCCCTAAGCATAGCTCACGCATCTTAAGATCACCTGTAGCCTTTACAAATATTAATCATTGTTAACCAGTTAAGCCCGAAGGTCCCCCCAGTGGACCCCTCCCACAGTTTTTTTTCTCTCACATGTCTCAGGGCTTCTTAACATTTATGAAACTATTAATGTTTCATACCCTTTTAAAGGTAAGAAACTCCGCTAACTGACAATAAGAACAATTGTTAGCTAGAAAAAACACAAGAGTAATACCAAGCCTTTGAATTAGCATTGAGCGAAACAATGCTAACTAATGCTAACGCTTTTTTACACACAACACATGGTAGAAATGCCCTTATTACTATCTTAACTGCACAAACAAGATGTACGATTTAAAGCTGAGACTCCACAGATGTAATGTCATCACTGTAAGACCTCGAATTCCTGGAGCTATCAGCCAGAAAAGAGAAAGTAAACAACATCCGGTTCCAAAAATATTACAATAATTACGTCTTACCTTTTTTGATTTGTGATCAAAAGTTGTGTTCAACGGAATAAAAACAAATGTCACCCACTGACGACGAATGGCTGGGTTTCTTGGAAACGCATGCGTCGATACGCCATTCTCTGCATTTGCTGTCGCACTACAGCCATACAAAACACATCTATTCACCATAATAAAGGTCGGCTATTCACATGCAAATGCTATTGAATGTCCGCCATTGTTTGTGCCCGTCTTCCTATGCTCTCGTCATCACCCGAAGATTCCCGACGATTCCCGAAGTATTTCGTTTCATTGAGAGGGCGCAGTAAAATTGAAAATAAAATGAAACTAGGCGCATGAAATTAAAAAAAATTGTTTATTATGCTTATTTTTAATAAAAATACATAAGTTAAACCCAAAATTCGCGGATTTCCACTATCCCTTTAAGTTTTGTGTGCCAGATTTTCCATAACAATTAAAATGTAGGTGTTCAACACTGTTAGAATTACATCTACTCGCTTTCTCTTATCGAATCAAATCTAAAATCTACGAATATGCAATATTCAGTTCAGAAGTTAAACTAAAGGACAACAGATGCCTCTAAGCCATTCTCTGTTTGTTTTTGTTTATGCGTGTGTGTGCTGGAGGTTTAACGTTGTATATTGTATCACGACTGGCCTCCAAACAATCACATGTTAAAGGTCCCATGACATGCTTTTCCGGTTATTACCCGTCCCCTTGTGTGTTATGTAGCTTTTTATGCATGTAAACGGTCTGCAGAGTCACAAACCCTCAAAGTACACCCTGTAGCGAGTAAAACTCTAACACAGAAAATACCTGTCTGTGTGGCGACGTAACCATACCCAAATGGACCCCTAGTTTCCACCGGGTCCGTCTGTGGCGTGTTACGGGCGTGTTGCGGCTGCGCCGCGGCGTCCGCAAGGATCGCAGCCACTCTAGTCAATGGGTGCTCTTCCACCAGACGCGCCGTGTTACGGCTCACCCCCTAATCGCACCAGGAGCGTCTGCGCCGCTGAGACGCTCCTGGTGGGATTACCCCCTAATCCCACCAGGAGCGTCTGCGCTGCGTCTGCGCTGCGTTGCGCTGCGTTGCGCTGCGTTGCGCTGCGGCTGCGGCGTCTTTAGCGATCGCGGCCACTCTAGTCAATGGGTGCTATTCCACTAGACACGCTGCGCTGCGCCGCGGCTCGAAGCGTCCCCGAAGCTCCTCACCGCAAGGAATTTCTAAAATATAGGATGAATCCTATTTTTGACGCGGCGCAGCGCGGCGCAGGCAGGAAGTGGAATGTTCATCCAACAACTGCTAGGCTGCACACACGACGTTCCGCTTCCGCAACGTTTTGAAACGCGCCTGGTGGGTTAGGACGCAGGAGGAGGTCGCAGCGCGTCGCAGCGCGTCGCAGCGCGTCGCAGCGCGTCGCAGCGCGTCGCAGCGCGTCGCAGCGCGTCGCAGCGCGTCGCAGCGCGGCGCAGCCGCAGCGCAGACGCTCCTGGTGCGATTAGGGGGTCAGAAGCGTCCCAGAAGCGTCTCGCCGCTGGGCTCCGCTCGAAATAGGATTGAAGTCTATTTTTCGACGCGACGCAGCCGTAAGGTAATGTCGGGCAGGAAGTGGAACGTTGACA